TTTCAATTTTTATAATAAAATAATACTTCTTTATGAATGAATCGACATTTCTCGAACGATTATTTAGTCTCATTAACTGTTTAAAGCTCAGGCCGACACCCTTAGATACTGCTGATTTTCACTGTGCATTATTCGAATAAAATTCTGCCCAACTCTGGTGTATACCCACTTTTGACTCTCGCTGTATAGGTTCGATTACTTCGGGGCACAAGTTTCTTCGTTCTTTTTTCGAAGAATCGATTACAACAACTTCCATAGCAATTTGATTTATCGGTTAATTCGCTGTACATACGATGTTTCATTAAACTTTTTTCCACTGCCCACCATGAAGCTTTACTAATTAGCTAAGTTTCCTCGTAAGTTTCGCGAGCATTTTGTGCGCGTCCGTCGAAAGGGGCATCTCCGCCGGATAAACTTCCCTTCGAGCTCCCAGTGCAGCTTTAATCGACGCCCCTAGTAATCGGGGGACCGTCGATTGTAAACCCCCCTTTCTCTTTTCCTCTTTCGGTCGGATCGAACTGCGTCGAGGCGGGGAGACATAGAGTTCCGAAGTGGATCGTAAATTGAACGGTAATGCGCCGGCAATTTGGGGAGAGCCTTCGAGGGGGGTGATCGTTCAAAAAAAAAAAAAAAAAAAAAAAAAAAAAAAAAAAAAAAAAAAATCCACTTCGACTCCAAACAACCGAAAGCTCTGACGTACCGAATTTATCGAACGAGAATTCTCAGGCAACTATAGTTTGAAAGGATATTTATTACAAACTTCCGAAATTTTCCAGCGAATAGTGCTTTTATGTGCAAACTAGTGACGTAAACTGAAATTTTTGATGGTGTTCAATGTAAAAAGACATTTATCATAAACTTCCTAGACGTGAACTGAAATTTTCAAAAGCAGCGACGTAGCTAAAATTTCGGATGGTACGACGTAAGAGGATGTTTATCATAAAATTTCTGGGTCGAAAGTTTGCAAACTGAAATTTTCAATGAAATAGCGTTTGTTTTCTGGAAATAACAACGTGAACTGAAATTTTCGATGATTGAAATTAATAAATTAAAAACTTTACAATTAATAAATTAACAACTTTGAAATTAATAAATTTGCATTCTTAAGGTTACAGTTCCACTGGCCTGTTACGATCATTGGTTTCTTTAATTCTGGCCCGCTGTAAAAAAAACGATTACGGGAAGACTAGGTAGCCCCTTGACACTTAAATGAAATACAAAAACAATATATAATAAATAAATTGTAATGAAATCACTCTTTCAGAAAATAAACGTAATATCAACTTTAATATCCCCTAAACAATACTTATTCCGATAAGTGTACTTGATAACTGCCCCCGTACTTACGAGCAGTAATACTAGAGAGTATAACTTCCTAGTAGAGGTTATAAACTTCCTGAGTGTGAAGTGAAATTTTTTCAACTACATAAACGGATCGATCTCAATAGACACGTGGTCTTAACGTCTCAACGAAGGAACGTGTTTCCCGTAGATAAAAGCGGTTAGAAAGTCGCGACGAGGTGAAACGCGCAGTTAACGAACTGTCGGCGCTAAATCCCCGGGTTGAAATTGATTCCCACGGAACATGCGATGTAACCGTGAACGATCCCGGTTCGAGTCGAGAGGAATCCACATAAAAAGGATGGTCCTTGATAACAAACGTGAACCGAACCGAGACCCCCCTGGAGCAGTTTGTTAGACACTTAAGCGGCGTTGTACCAGTCCGATGGAGCAGCGGGAGGACACCGTCCGACAACTGCCACTTATTTGTTTCCTCTTGTGTGTGCAGTGGATGGTTACCAGAACCCCTATCGATAGCAAGGGGGAAGTTGCTGTCGATAGAAGTTCGGCTACGAAACTTAACTCTCGGACTTGTGTAGCTGATCAGCTTCATTCCTCGTCGGATCTGCTGTAACCATGGGCGTAGCCAACGGGGGGGGGGGGAGGGGGGGAGCAGGGGGGTACTTGCTTTTGCCTCACCTTACAAGAAAAAAAATTGCATTTTGCACTCACCCCCTCCCCCTAATAAAAGTTTATGCATTTTAACACAGTGACATATGGCGGAATTTGAAAAAGAAGGTTTTTGTTTTACCTTGTTTTCTGAAACAGAAAAACTATTCGAAAACCGTATCAAAATTGGCAGAAAATTATGCATATCGAAATGTCATGAAATGAATTTATTAATTTCCGTGAAACTATCCACATAGTTTTCTCTTAGATACTAATGAAAAAATATGATTACGTGCAATAGATACGTTTAGTATGTTATTTGCATATTGCAATTCCTTAAAATATAACATACAACTTTTAAAAATACATACACGTGATGTTAAAAATTATTATTATTATTTTCATACTATCGTACCACCTTTGTATTTATCATTTATTAACGAACTCCAATTTGACTAACACATTTGGCTAAGAACTACCTTAATAGATTCGTCCAGAAATTGTAAATTTTTAAGGCAATTTCCATCTTCACCCATATCTGCATTTATAATTGTTAATTTGCATAAACATGCACAGTCTAAACGGTACAAGGATCAATGGAGAAAGACAGTGAACGCACGTGTAATATATGGATCGGTGGCGATGGAACATGTATCATGAAAACTTTCACGGAGGGGAAACGCCTCGATCGAAAACGCAGGCAAACAGTTTTCAATTTTCGGGGTTGGTAGCCAGCATCTCTTTCTCTTTCTCGATGTGACATTTATTACGAAATCGAACGTGATCTACTATACCCTGTTGTTTTTCCACCACCTATTTTCCGCCTTACCCTTTCGACCATCGTTGGAAATACGAAATGGGAAGGACAGCTACAATTTCGTAGCTTCGTATTGCCGACTTGTTTCGGTTCCTCCTCCTGAAAAAATTCTATCGAACTACACCAGAAGTTTTCCCGATCCAATTGCAGAGACGTCACACGTTGGTACTATTTTTCGGAATACATTACGTCCAGAATAAATGTCCTAAATCGTTTATTTTTAAACCTTTCGATCCTTCGCATTTCGTGAACTGTTTAATACGAACGAAAAGCATTTTTCTACCTCTTTCGGAAATTGCAAATCTATTCTTCCTGTCGAAGATTTATAAATAATTGTTAATTGAGATTTTAACGTTATTTTAAGAGTTATCACTTAATTGACACGTTTGAGTTTTAAATCAAATTTAGTGCAGATAAGAAAGTGAATTCTTTTAGGGTGAGAAGATTTTTCAAATATAGGCGATAAAGATAGTGTTTCATGGAATACCTCGAGAACTACCGGGAAGCATAAACATAATTACAAAAACTGTGCACGTAATTTTATATGGAATTTCTGGCGTCGGAGAAATTTTCGAGAAATCTGATTTACGGTGATGTATGTCACATGCGATGGCGGCGTCAGTTGAGTACAAGGGAATAACGCGTCGGAAGATCCAAAGAATAAAGTCGAAATATACAGGGTGATACAAAGAAGAAATAGATGATCCATCGTGTAAAACGAATAGAAAAATAAAGAATCAAAAAAGGGACGTAGAACGTCTCTGTCAGACGCACACGTGGAATTATACTTGGCTGGCCTGTCTGACCATTACTGACCGATTCTACTGTTGCCCATGCTGTCATAAAATATGCAGGTATAATTTATTCAGTCATATGTATAAAGCGATGAAAATTCAAATTTGTATAATTCAGACGAATAAACAAAATTCTGGTCCATTTCTGTGAACTCTACAATAAATAAAACATTACAAACATGAAAATGGTAATGGAAACTTCTAATTGACAAGGTCTACGGATTTTTATGTAGAATAATATGGTGCTAACAAATTCTCCAAAATATAATTTGTTTATAACAAAAAAATTTCAGATCGAAACTTCGAAGGGTGGTTTCACCCCTTAAAGTCGCGTCTCAACCTATACAAAAAATACGTATCTCTTATTTTTTACTGCTTAACAGACATACGAAGTTTAATCAAAATCGGAGGGGGACACTTCTGTGCCTTCTCTTGTTAGTCGCTGGCATTAACTCTGTTTCTCATCCAGCTAAAATATTATCCCTCCTCGGAAACATTGCTGTCGCGGCTTTGCAACTTTTCTTGGCAAGGAACAAGTTTTTACCGCGGAGGCCCCTGTTGCTTCCGCTTATTTTTCCACTTTTAAAGACTTTCGAAATCGTTTCGCTTCGTTGAGCACAGGGGAGAGAAAAAGCGGCGAACAAAGTACAGGCAAGCCCTGTCAGTTACGTCGCGGCGCAAAACCTGAAACTTGTGATGAATTAAATTTCATCGTTCTCTGCCAGTTCCATTTCGGAGCACCAGGCTTCTTGCTGTCCTTGTATACCAGCATTTTTTTCCAGACCACTTCGAACTGTCTATTATGTCACTGAAAACTCGCGAATAATACCTTAAATGTAGCTCTTGTAGATTTAAGTATTAAGTAATCGATTGAATATATTTGTATTCTTTGAGCAACGACATATTCTGTAATTATTGCTGTAATATATTATTGTTTTGTACGTTAAAGAGAATTTTTATCGCGTTTATTGAATAAATTATTATAGATACAGATGTAAAAGATCTTTGGGTGGCTAAACAAACACAAAAAATATAGGCATATATTGCAGAATAAAAATGACAATTTATCTTGTCTGTTCTGGTTGTGGTGAATAATTGGGATACTTTTTTAATTTGCTGTTAAACTGATTGTGAGTAGTCATGATTAGACTGTCGATGTTATGCATTTATAGTCTACACGTTAATCTAGAATAACACAGTACAATGACAGAATCGGTTAAATGTAATCATAATGGAACCTTTAACAGAGTAAACAAACTTCTGCTTCGTTTCAGTTTTCGTGAAATAGATCACGAAATCTATATTTACATAAATATTCGTAGTCTAGTCATGATGTATATTCTCACTAAGGAATTAATAAAAACATTTCTTATGATATAGCAACGTAAACCGTGATACTGATTACATAATTTACAAGATTCTATTATTTTGTGTTTCAGTGATGGCACACAAGTATTGCGAACCAAATGGCACCTGGTTCCGACATCCGATGTCCGATCAAGTCTGGAGCAAAGGTAATTAACGAACCGAAAATCATTTGTTTTTTTCCATACATGTAGCATCCTTTAATCGGTTAATCGGGTGATTTTTCGATGGTACTCAAGATGAGATTTACTTTTACATCTTAACAAGATTATTTACTATCACAGATATTATTATACTATTAAAATACAAAAATCATTAGGGAAATAAATAGAAACCGAACGATCATGGAACAAATAACATTGTGACTCGACTTCTCCGATTAACAGATTAATCGCCACTAGTTCCGTCATTTTGTCGTACACAAGAAAATCGATCTAATTAAAATTTACCCAATTGGTAAATAAATGTTCCTCTACGAATATGTAAACTCAGGTACCAGAATGATATTTTGTATAAGCACGAGAGGTAAAGGAAGATTGTTCTTGATAAAAATTCGAAAATCATGGGACTATGTTTGAAACATGAACAGAAGGACGCTGTACTAATTACAGGAACGGAATACCGAAAAAAGGATAAAGTTTACAAAAAAATTGCTGTAGTTTCTGGTCCATGAAGATTCCAGCAATTCTGAAACGACGATTACCATGCGGAATCGTCGCTTTTATCTCCGTTGAAGTCTAATCTCCCATAGTCGATTTTCCCTGCATCTGAACGTGAATTGTACGTCTGCATCGAACATTGAAATTCTTTCAAGAGGAAACATTTGCAGAAAAAACGTACCGATTTTTAATCAACATTCATTATTCCTGAATTGCGAACACCGAATAGATGAATACTGTTGTAACGAAAAGTTACGCACCGATGAACTATTATATCTGGCTATAATTAGGCCGTCATTCTCTGTCGAAATAATTAGCCTGTTGAATGAAATATGAATTTGTGTTGCTAATATTACGTTTCATTTCACGGTATTACCGTAGAAATATAATTCCCAAGGAACTAAATAATTTTATTATAACCAACCGAATGGGACAAAGTGAAACGAGTGGATTAATTTTTCGTGTCGAACTGTATATCGTTCGTTGCAATTTCAGATAATTTTAGTGTGATTCTTAGTAAATCGAATGATTGAAAATGAGATGCAAAATTTTATTGAAATATTCAGTGAGAAAACTACTCTTTATAATTCAGATGGATTATCGATAAATGAACTTATCAGATTAACCCATATGATGTGTTCTTACTTTCATCGCACGTATTCAAAAATGTGGATTTGTATGATTGATAAAGTTGCGAAAAAATTAAAGGACGAACTAATTTAAACTAACATATCCGAGAAAATCTTTGTAACACGCACTTAATACTATATTCTGGGTCAGTGAGTTTATGGATAACGATATTCCTTGCGTTTACGACGGAAAAGGGACGTACTCAGCGCCCTTATGGTACTTTCCCCTTGAGATAATGAACTAAGATGCTAGCATATGCTTTTTTTTTGTGCCCGTAATAAAAACAACAACACGGGTATTGAAAATCATAATTTTTGTTTTACGGAAGGAATGTAATATCCCACGTTTCAAAGAAAAAACCGTATTCATCGGATAAAGCAGACGAGACAAACAGAAAATTTGAAGGGGAAAAGAATGAGAGTCTTTAGTGTCGTTTTATCTGCAAACTTATAGTGTCATTTAGAATGAAATATCCACGCGGATAAATGGATAAACGGAACGAGGTAAAATAAAAAAACTACGAGGGTAGATCGTTTTATCTCTTATAGCTGCCAGAAACCAATTTGTACATTTTTTAGTTTCTAGCGAACTCGTCCTAATCTAAATTGTATTAATCAACGTTTATAGTTAGAATAAATTCTAATCGTTAATTCCGATTGTAACATCGACTAAATATACAGGGTGTCCCGCCTAACGTGAGCACCAACAATATTTCACTAAAATCCACAAACGTAAGGAAGTAGATTTAATGCAAAAATGTGTCGAAGTTGATGGACATCACTTTGAGCATTTGTTAAAATAATTTTTCTGAAAATCAAAAGTAAATGAGATATTTAAGGTGCTCACATTAGAGGGAACACCCTATATAAATGATTATATGGTTACTTCTACGAATAACTCTACAAGATTCCAGTAATTGAACATTAGATATGCAATTTCCAATTTTATATCAAATGGAAAAAAACATTTCTCATTATAAAATATATCTCGTAACATCGAAACAAAAAAAACTTTAAACGAAGTACATGAGAGTAATTGTACCTTAAAGGCGCCAAAACACAATGGCGTCGTCGAAACAACATGGCGGCAAGGTTCGTGTTCCCTTTATCTCCGTCCACCTCGAGTTTTCATGGGCTCGAGGGATCTTAATGGTTTAGTTCCTCCTTTCGCGATATCGATCATCGATTTCAGTGGCTGTGAACGATCGTTTAGCGCGTGGTGGAACCCGCCACAGTAAATTAACGGCTCAAGACTGCATGAAACTGCAATGAATCATTCGCACGCCGGACGACACAGGGACGAAGAGAGTGTCGCCCAGTTCAACCCGGGACCAGTGAAATTTCCGGCCGGCACAAAGGGACGGCGAATGTAATTAGACGTCGCGGAAGTTGCCACGAAGTTCATCTAACTAGTGGCCGCGACTGTCGTATAACTTCCGGTCGGCATTAATACGATTGTCCGCGCGTGGCGACCGCTCGTGTTCCATTACACGACAATCGATGTCCTCTAGTATCCCGTCGGATTGTTTCTCTATCATTTTTGACGGTTCTAATCTGCGAATCGAATCCGAGGGAAACTACGCAATGTTGCTACAGACAGAAGGACACAATCATAGGGAATATTCATGCTTCGTTTCTGTTAATGTTCTATGGACATATATGGGGTGTCCCAAGACAGTTGATAGTTACAATGGCGTTTATTTGAATATTTTGGAATGACGAATAATTTTCTTTATTAACCCTTTTTGATTCTAGGATTTTATGTGGAATCATTAACTTAGTTAGCATTTATAATTCGTATTATGAGCCTGAAGATTCAAAATGGGATCGTATCGTATAGTTTTTTGCCGTTAGGTGGATACATTCTCAAAAATAATATTTTGGAATTATCCTCTTTTAATTTTTCTGTTTTTCTGACATCCGAGAAATAACAGTATGCTAAAAAATGTTGACACAAGATATCTGTTTTGAGCGAATAAAATCTTTACTCGATAATTTACGAATAATTTCCACGATTTCAGGTCCTTATTCGATATTCACGAATAAATTCTGCGGTTTCGATTCGGTATTCGAAACAGAAATTGCCTAGTTCTGCTGATTGTATTTTTTGATATGTACTTGGAAGTGAGATGATCTTTAAATATGGAGTAATCAGTTTAATCTATGCAGTGTAATTCTGACGAATGTCTATGAAAGCTTATGGAAGACTTTTCCACGCGAAGATGGAAAGTAGTAGCAAAGTTCCGAGTACGTTTCAACAAATTATACTGATTACCGTGAATATATCGATGCATTTGGAAGACAAAGTGGATTCGCGTCTAAGAATATCGCGAGCTATGTATAATCCCACTAATATAGCAATTAATTTTGATTTCAGTGGCAACAGGGGATTAATGGAATTTACGAAGCCGGGTACGCGATATCGCTCATAGCTCTGCTGCTATCATTAGGGATTCTCACGTATTTTCGGTGAGTCGACGAGAATTACTAATCATACACTACTATTAATTAGACCGGATTAAATTAAACTGAACAGATAAACAAAGTGTTAAACGAGAAAATCGAAACAACTGAATACGAACAGGAAAATACAGAAGACAAGGAAATTAGCATAATATAACGTGAAATACATCCTTAAGGTTGTTATATTACCGAATTTGAATTTTTAAATTATTTTGAAGAATTATTAACTTCATATTTATGATAAAGTTTCATTACACGATTAGAAATGTTAATAAAGTCAAAACAGTAAGTTACTAAACCAAGTTATTAAAAGAATAAACGATACAGAATTCTGTTATTCGTTCTGGAAAATTTATTATTTGAACAAATATTTCGCAATAACCTTGAGACTCTGTATGAACTTTTAACGGACAGTTCTATTTGACAATCCACGAAAAAAAGTTTCACCTCCCTGTTTTTATTGTTCCTTTTTAAACGCAGGTCCCTAAGGTGCGCCAGGATCACTCTCCATATGAATCTGTTCGCCTCGTTCGCTGTGAACAACGCCCTCTGGCTTGTCTGGTACAGATGCATAGTCGCGAACACGGATTTACTATTAAACAATGGGGTACGTGCCACACACGTCATTGTTCTTCTCGACGCGTTTCAGCCCGCGGCGAATCATTCTTTAAATCCTCCCAACACGGCATTCAAAACTACACACGTGTGTCGTTAACCTACGAATCCCTGCGAAACCAGACTTCCGTTCCTTCCCTTTAGGTTCCCACTTAAAAATATGCATTATTAATGGGCGTTAAAAAGGATTGTTAAATGAAAAAAAATAAAATTTCCTGTCATCTTTTATCGAAGATTTCTCCTGGCCTAAGTAAACGTGTTAAGTGAAATACGTTCATAGAGCTACACACACTGCATAATAACACAATTGTTGATTACTAGACTGCGGATTTTATGCACTTATAGTTTATACGGCTCTTGAAATGTAGTAAAAGATAAAATTCTCATCAGATGCAACGAGTTTTCTATTTTTTCCTTGACCCAATAATATACTTAAGGGGCTATGTTAGTGCGACGGCTATATAATAAGGCAATTTTTGGGAATTTTTTAAAGAAAAGCTATTGAACTTATCAATTTGAATAATATATATATATATATTTACTAAATAATATTTGTAAAGTATGCTATATTTTTATAAAGTAAAAACAATGTATTTTTTAAAAGTTACAGTTCGTTTGTGAGAGCGTCTTAACGAAATTTCCTTTTAACGAATATCCGATTTTCTGAAACCGTCACGCTAGCATAGCCCCTTGTGGAAGGAAAGAAATTCCTATTTTTGTTCTTGCCTTTGTCATTTACTTTATTAAATGTCATTTCGCATAAAAATCCGCAGTCTACTGATTGTCACCAGCGCGGTGGTATTTACCAAACGAAATTGTCCCGCTGAAACTACACACGTTTATTGTTTACCGATTTCCAGGTAACGTGCCGTCTCGTGCACATTATCCTGCACTACTTTTTACTCACTAATTACGCCTGGATGCTCTGCGAGGGTTTCTATCTGCACACGCTGCTGGTCAGCGCGTTCACCAGCGAACACAAGCTGGTGAAATGGCTGATGGCCCTCGGATGGCCAATGCCAGCGATCATTGTCACGCTTTATGCTTGCTTGAGGGCGCTTAGCGACGATCCCGCGGACACTGAACAGTAAGTACCCGGAAATTAACTACTCGAACCGTCTGCTTGCGACCCCCCGTGGACGCAAGAACGCATCCGCCATTTTGAATCTCGTTTAACGACTATCGTAAAAAGCTAGAGAACACGGTTATCAGACAATTCCACGAACAATATCATTCCGAAAGTTCATTTTCAGAGATCAAAATGAATACTTAAGGTCATTTCTACTATTATCCACGATATGAGTTCGTAAGTGCGTCAATTTAGAGTCGTACCAAATTTTAGGTTAGGATATCAGAGTCGGGGTTCGTGAAATAGGAGGAAAATGTATTTGCACAATATAATTATTTGCTCTGTATATTGTTATTTATATGTGTAGTGAACGCGATTTATTGAACTTTATTGTTTCATTGGTAATCGTGGTGCATAGGATGTATTTAGAGAATAAAATATCAGATCCGTAGGAAATAAAAATCGGGTCAAAGGGAAGGTAGGCAAACCCAATAAATTGACAATTAATTCGTTCTATAAATGATTATCAATGGAACAACAGAGACCTTTCAAAAAGTAACGACGTAAATTTTTAAATTCTGAACAATAAATATGGTAATAAAATGTAAGGAAATAACACGAACAACAATTCAATTAAATATTGGAGTCGTTAACGAGCATGCAGTCAACAATACAGGAGTGTTGTAACTACATGCAAAAATATGTGAAAAATGTGGAATAAAATTGTTTCGTTTCCGAGGTAACCGAGTTTGAAAATCCAATTGAGTAGGAACTTGGCTGATATGTCTGTTCATTGCATTCTGTCACTACTTATGGTGTAAGAAGATGTTTCGTAAAAATTCTATATTCTAGGCCACTTTTATTGCTTTGTAATAGCATAAACTTGTCCATCAAACTTTAATATCCTCTGAACAATATTTATTTCAGACTTTTAGGAATTTAATAATACCCTGTAACATTTACTGCATATTCGACAAGTGTCCCAATATTTATGGGCGACAACGTTATATGTTATATGTACTTTCAAAATCGATTACCTCGAAAAGAAAGCATTATATACGAACAAATTTTATTCTATACTTTCGACTTATATTTGCACGTAAAATAACCTCCTGTCCGATTGCACCTATCCTGGCGGAGCCTATACATATAATATACTAACGAAATAAAAATTTCGTGAAACGCCAAAGGAAATCGATCGACAAGCATTAAAACAGAGAGTGAAGCTTGGAATGTGAAACGAGGGAAACGTTTCAACCAATGAATAATCAACGAATGTCTCTAATAAAAATCATTTTTAATACCCGGGTATCGCCGTGCAGATATATTTGTGATTTCAATTTTACCTTCCAAACGAAGGTATTCCAGTGGCATCGGCATGCCGTGCTTGTTTTTTCGTTTCTTTTTAATGGGAATTTCTAGTTTCGATTGCTCATGAAAGGACGACATTTGAATTCCGTTGGTATATCCGCGAATGCCGAAAAACAACCGCGCACGCATTTGCATACGACACGGAAAAATTCCAATTCCGTCATCTGGCTCGTGATCGAGACAATTGCCTCGATCGGGGACCATGGAATCTCGATTTCTAGATAACATAAAAATTCTGCAATTACCCGGAAAATATCCTCCATTCTTGTCGACTATCGAGATGCCAAGGGACGTGACACGTTTGGAAAATCTGTGGATGAAAATGTTTCAGCGACAGGTTTAAGAGTTATCGGATTCGATTGAAAAAGATACGAGGCAAAGAGAGCTCGTACAAGGACGAAACAATACGTATATGCTTCGACGAGAACAGAACCGTCGGGATATCGACACAGACGTGACAAAAGGAGAAAAAATGAGGGTTTCGATGAAAACACTGCGCGGTGGTCGGGTTAGGTGAAAAAAATAATACGCACTGTACGTCAGTCGATATCGAATGGTCCCCAAAAAGGCACAAAAAATATTTTTGGATCAACAGAGATGGAGTATCTTCTTCGAACGTGCATAACTTTGATGTAATAAATATTATAGAAATTATAAAAATTATAAATACTATAAATACTATAAATATTAAATAAATATTATAAATATGTATTAAATCATGAAACAATCAGGCACAGTAAATTGTTAATTGTTAGACTGCCGATGTTTATGAAAATATAGACTTTTATAAGCAAGTTTATAGAATTTACTATTTTCACAACATTCCGAGGGTTAAATGTTACACTAGAAGCCACGAGAGAAAACAGCCCTTCCATCCAGTGCTGACGCTATGAACCCAGATATTTCAGCATTTGTTTCGTGAATTTTTACAAAATAATATTATTCTATCTCTATTCGTGGTCTAAATGAAACGTAAATGAAATTTTTCGTAATACTGTTAACTAGTTTAAAAAAACAATGGTCATTTTCCAAAACGATATTAAACAGCTACGACACACGTCGAAAATCACGAAATAAAATTACCTTACAATCATCCATCTGCAAGATTGACAAATTTGTCTGTGTTAATAACAGAATAACAATGACGCGAAAGTACTGTTGCTCGCTAGTAAAACGTCACAAAACCCTCCGTCTTCCGAGAGTTAAATATTCGCTCTAGAATAGCCTGAAGAAAACCGTAATTTCCACCGCCCTCGGTAGATCCGCATTGTCAGCACGACATTAACAACAAAATAAAAGGTGACACTGCTAAAACGTCACAGGAGGAAGATTAAAGTCAACAAGCACTCGCACACATGCACTCCACTCTCGGTCGAGAAACAGCGGTACCATTTAGCCTGGGTACCATTTACCGTCACTCCAGAGTTCTCTAGAGTTCCAGACGAAGTTTCGGTCCGCAAGATCCGGCGGGGAAGTGCCGTGACATGGCCAGTCGGAGCCGTGGTAGTTCCGAAAATCGGCGGTTCGGTGCATTAATCGTCGAGGAACACGCGGGCGCGCCGGAAACCCCCTGAAAACCGCAACACCGTGGTCAGACGAGCTTGTACCGTTGATTTCCCAGTGTATATGGTGAAGGGGTTGGTGATAGACGAGGACACCCGGTACATCACTAGAACCACCGTGCGCGGATGCGGCACGTGCTCGTACGAGAGGGATCAAAACCGAGGCAATTGGGTTATCGTCCACCGAGGACAGACCCGAAATCCGTGACGAACAAAGAGGAACTGTCCACCTCCGGAGGCGAATCGATGAGTATACTCACATACGACCGTCCTGAACCGGAACTCTGAGCCCCTCGACCACAAAGTAATTTAGATTTTTCGGGGGATTACTGGGGACGGCTTTCTTCGGATTAACCGTTCGCCAGACGGTGTGGGTAATGTAATTTGGATTTTTAGAAGATCTAGGGTATTTGTTGGTGTTTCCGTACGATATCGACAATGGGATTTTGATTTATTGGCGGATCGACGGGCTTTGTTCGGATTTGTTGACTTTGAGATGGGTGTTTGGAATGTAATAGTGGACTTTTTTTTTTTTGGAGGATCGTGAGTCTGTAGGGTGTTGGTTGGTCTCTGATATTGACAGTCGGGTTTTGATTTATTGGGGATCGTTGAATTTGTTCGGGCTTTGTTGACTTCGAGATTCAGTTCGTAGGAGCCGTTTTACACGGTTAAATAATTTGCGCAAATTGACTTGTGCATTCGCATTTAAGCAAGTAAATCGTTGTATTTGCATGGAAGTTAACGTTCCTGGGAAATAATTACCATTACTTTTGTCATTATTTAATTGTAATAATGAGATTGTAGATGTTTATGCAAATTTTGAATTTTGGGCAGTGATATATAAGAAACAAAATTGGACAGATGTTTGCATATTATGCATATACTATTCAATTTTATTAGAATCTTTATTTTGTCAACATTCTGCAAGTCAAGGGACGGTATAAATGTATAAAAATCAGACATCTAGTAATAACTAATTTTGGTTATAGTTTATACTTTATATGTATATAAAATAACTGTGCAAAGTAGACTGAACGTGTAATGCACAAGTCAGTTTGCGCAAATTATTTTAATGTATAAATGGTCCTGAAATAGAATACAAAGACTGAGTTCATTTGCGAAATTTTGCACAAATTATTTGAACGTGTAAACAGGCCTTAAGTTGGATTTTTGAAGTTAGATTTCTGGGACCTTGGAATAGTTCACTTCGAAATAATATCGATAATTTAATGTATAATAGATTTCCGGGGGATCGTAGACTTTTTGATGATTAATTGATTACCGAGCGATGGTAATGTAAATTGGATTTCTTGTGGATTATAGGGGATGTTGGGGAACATGATTGATGTTGAGGGAGCAAAATTATTCGAGGGGTAGAGTGTTTAGTCGAGGAATTTCGGCAATTAAGTAGAAAATTGAAGGCAATTTAATAAGGGCAAAACGGTATTTGTTATTCAAGTTGTTTCTGAATTACTTTTCGTAAATTATTTTTTGGTAACTAACCCCTAACGATTTTCAACTATTTAGAAAAAAAGAACTGTTTTCATATAACTTTGCTTTAGAATTTCAGGTAGAAGAGTCGAATTCTACATAAGAAAATGCTAATAAATTTGAACTATAATCTAAACACGGGAATAACTTAAATTCATATGTCTGAAAATCTTCTATCAAATAATTATATGATAATAATCATCATAGTGTATTCTTTTATATACCGATATAAAATACAGTATCCGAACAATATAAAGTAACATAAATATAACAAAAAATGTATTAAAAAAAAAAAAGAATATCAAGTTCAACTCCTGTTTAACTCTTGTTCGATAACACCAACAACTTCGGAAGCTTTTTTCATCACCGGAATACATAACACACAATGTGTATGCAAACTAGAGAATTCTTTTTTGCGCACGAAAGAGTACAATGCTATGCAGTTGCAATTTTCCGTTGACTAGTTGCAGCCTTTTCAAAGGCCGTCTGAAAGTTTCCGGTATAACAAGCTAGTTACCCTCCCCTGTTAAACTTATTCGATGCATCGATAATGATCGCAGGTGTTGGATCAACGAGGGGAACTACATGAACGTGCTGGTGTACCCGGTCTGCGTTTCCACCCTCCTCAATCTCCTGTTCCTCTCAAACATCGTGCGGGTTCTGTTGATGAAGCTGAGGGCCGGTCCCACGATCGGTACCCAGCCCTCGAGATCTATGAGACAGGCGTTTAGGTAACTATAATCCCAACAACACTATTAAATCACGGCCATTATACCGAAATGTTTGGGAATATTAGCTCCATAAATTCCCTTTCACTTTTGTTAACGACAAAACGATGTCGTAATTGGATTTAGAGAGGCTGATGGAAATATACAGTGTACACAAATTTGTTTACATGCTTTGGAAATAACAATTTAGTGTCAAAATTGTTATACAATTTCTATTTATCTGTTCTCATTATTATTTCATTTGTGATAAATTGTTCTATAACTTTAAAATAAAATTCACCCAATAATAGAGTTTTCCCTTAATGATTGTTGTCAGAAAAATAAAAACTTTATACTTGCTTGACCTTGTTAAATAATATACGTAATATTTGTTAGGGGTAACATTTTTTTAACGATAATAATATTACCATTTCTATATAGAATATACAAGTATTAATCTGTTATGGAAGATCTCGTTTGAATACTTCGGTTTTATGGTACTTTCTTTTCCAGAGCAACGTTGCTTCTGGTACCTCTTTTAGGGTTACACTATCTACTCACCCCCTTCAGACCTCCAAAGAATCACCCGTGGGAGCAGTTCTACGAGGTTCTTTCTGCAATCACAGCCTCTTTCCAGGTAAATTCGACGTTTCTCTCAGGTTTTGTATCCACCAGGTTATATATCACAAAAATTTTCTTAAAATATCGAATACCAGATCAACCTATTAAATCCAAGTACCTTGTTTATGATAACTAGACTGCAGATTTTATGGATTTATAGCCCATAGGGCTCTGTGAAATACAATAAAAGACGAAACTTTCATCGAATTCAATGAGTTTTCCATTTTAGTCTGAACCCAATAAGATACTTAAGAGAAAAAATAAATTTCTACATATTCGCCTGTCTTTATAAATTACTTTAGAATGTGTTATTTTGAATAAAAATCCGCAGTCTAATGATAACTATTCTTTCATGCAAATCACCTTAGACTCGAATAATTCGAATTACTCTCAAATAAAGTTATTATTTATACTTAACGGAATATAATACGTAGACTACGGATCGGAATGCAAACTTAAATTTGACTAGATTATTTCAGGAATAAAAATCAAAAAAACACTAGTTTTATCCACTAAGAAATTCCAAGAATTATTGTTCCTAAATTTTTCTAGAATTTCAGTTTCGTTGCGCTGTACAAGACATGCTCGGCTACTGGTATATCAGAGACTTTAAAGGGTGAGTCTATGTGTGAAAATAAAACGAAAGCCAAGAAAGACCAAATTGTCTTGGAACCTTCGTTTTCATGTTATTGACGGTTAATGATTCGAGCCAGAAACGTCTGGAAGCAGACAATCTGCGAGTAAGCAGTTTTACCTCGTAACAAAAGATGTGCTGTTGTAACACCCACACTCGAGCCTCGACTATCTTCTTGTGTTTAAGACCACAGCACTCACACAAACACACGGAATAAACACTAAATAAACTAACATAAACTAACAAAAACTAAATGAAAACTAAATAAAAACTCACTATAATAAATAAATTAAATTAATACTATAAAAATACTCGAAAGCTATTCCACGATGATTAGATGTTCTCGCGTTGACGATCGCCATCGAACTAAGGAAAACGTTCTTCGAATCCCACACGAAGGACAAAAAGGTAATAAAAATATATAAACATCAAGTCAATGTAGTATCTACCTGTTTTTTTTTTGGCACGGTCGGCCAACGCTCGCGAATGACCTGCAGATGTTAGGGTCGTACCAAGGGAAAGGTATTAGGTACACCTACACTTTCCGCGTGTGTACGCACATTGCCTGGTTTCAGGCGTTTCTGATCTCAATCTTGAACTGTTAATAATTCGAAAACAAAGTCCCAAACAGAATTTCGTTATTCTTGATTTTCGATTTATTTCGACACATAGAATCATCCCTTGTCGTTTCTGGGCCGAATCTTTAACATGAAAACGAAACCACCAATAAAATTTCGTTATTCTTGAATTTCGATTTATTTCGACACTTAAAATCGTCCCTTAATGTTCCTGACACCAGTATCCGAAGAATTATACACTGTTCACGCCCTGTTAACGCACAAGATCCGTAGCCCAAGCCAAATGAGAAAGAAAGTTGTTCTAGCCAATTACAACCATGATCCAAAATCAATTTCCTCCCCACAGGGTCTTTGCGTCGCCATTTTATTCTGTTTCTGCAACGGCGAGGTGAGTAGAACAATCCCTCGAGTTACGTCGTGCCGTTTCTAATTAACCGAAACGGCGCGGAACAGACATTTTCATTAATAAAACGATGCTCATCCACCCCTCCTCCCTTCACCAGGTGATAGCGCAGTTCAAGAGGAAATGGGAGGGCACGGCTCTTCTGCGGAATCGAGCCAATTCCTGCACCGCCACGACCGTCTCGGTACGGCAAACTCACAAGACATAAGCGTGTTCACGGTTCCGTAAAAATTGAAAACGTCTTCTAATGAAACATCACCTGCACGTTTCACCGTCTTCACTTACACGTTCGTTCGGCATCGTTGTATGTGTATCCTTTTCACCGCGTGATCACGCGGCTCATTTTTAACACTTTGCACTCGGCTGCCCCTTCTGAAGGGACAAAATTTATGGAAAATTCGAACTTCCGAGTCCAAAGGTTTAATATCCATGTCGCCGCCATCGCTTTTCATTCGTCAGTCGATGTCTCCTCGGGCAAAATAAATCCGCCAACTCGACACAGGTGTATCACTCTGTTCGACCATTTTTATTTATTCTTTTTTTTTTTTTGTTACTAAAAAAGAACGTTAGTTATATGGAGTAAATGGGATAGTAGAAATTTACACACGAAAGATATTACTTTTGTGTGTAAGAGTTTTTGTTGTTAATTTTGCTCTCTGCTCTTAAGGTAGTTCTTGGGTAAACCGCAAAATTCGAGACTACTCCCAAATTTCGAGTAAAGCTAATTTGGAGTACAAGTAACCTTTGTGTAAAGTTTGGAATCGATTTACTGCATAGTTATCGAGAATTTGCTAATAAAAAATTGATGCATTTTTTAGTTTTATTTTGTTTTCTGAAATAGGAAAACTATATTCAAGAATTTTACAAAATTCAACTTTTAAAATACATAATGTTCAAAATTACTCTTATTATTTTCATAGTATCATACCACCTCTATATCTATCATTTATTAACGAGCTCCAATTTGATTAATACAGTTGGCTAAGAACTACCTTAAGTCACAAGACAATTGTTGAGTCTTATGAACGTTGAAGTTTTCAAATTTTATTTAGATGATCAAGGTGATTTCGAAAATTGCCTTTTTCTCGTTGAACAACTACGATAAGCTAAATTTATAAGAAATACATATATCGTTGGAATAACGTTGACTGTTTTTCGCGTGAGTTTGTTTAAATTATTGGGAGATGGAGAACCCGGAGAACGTTCTCCGGTATGTAAATCGTGGAACGAAATGTGAAAAATGACTGTGACCCATATATCGTAATAAATCATGAAGATTGCTTTGTACATAGCACTCCGTTTTAATTACACTATCACTCCGACGAATGAACAGATATCCTCCACCCCCATCTATTTTGGAACTTGATATAGATTCGTGACCGGTAAAATCGCGCCCAAGAGACAAAACCGTCCATTATGAGTGTTCGCATGACTTCACCGTAAAATGTTTTTCTGCATTGCATGCGTGATTTAATTCAGCCTCGATAATGTATTATTCGGCCATATTCGTGAGATTTTGTAGCGTATCGCAAAATCGGTCTCTGTCGTTCAATTTCCACCGAATAATCAAATTAGCAAAGCTTTTCATTCCAATTCCACGAATATATATATACATGTGACAATACACAAATGTATTAATAGACGAAGTTTAATTGGTCCCTCGAAGCCAATGTGATTTCCCTACCCTATTTTTTTGTCCAATCACTCTATTAAGCTATCGATTCATAATCAAAAAAATGGCTTTGAGCGATCACTTGGACTATAAGCATCAAAGAATCTTTTCGCTTTTACTTCTACATTTCATCTTTTATCGTTTCACGTTCCAGTTCTTCATACGGCTTAACGCAACTGTAACTGGATCGATGACAAAGTTGTCTTAAGAGTTCTTCCAACTTTTCGGTCGAAGGGGACTAGTATATCTTCTCTATTGGACCAGTTCGATATCGTCGATTCCCCGTTTTGGACACAGTTTCCAGGGGGGGGGGGGGATGAAATTTGAATTAGCCATCGAAACTTCCTCGCAACTTCTGAGAGACGCCTCGCCCCCCGGAATCCCCTATAAGGATGAATGGTGGAAGGTTTCTCGAGTCAGCTCCGTCTTCGATCCAAGTACAGTTATCCCATCAGCTCTGAATCAGACCGAAGCTAGTATCTGTAGTCGGGAAAAAGAACATAGTGTGGTCGTAAAATGGACATTCGATGTTTTCACGCCTTCTTGATGACTAATTCGAGAAAAATTAGGGGTCAGTATCTACTGGACGTGCAGAAATCACACATAGGGTGATGTACAAATGGTAGCCAATCAGTTGTCTAAAGGCGAAATCGGGTACATCCCACAATTCCATATGAAAAATGTTGCAATTACTGTTAGACGAAAGAAGCAAGAGTCCATTCCCCCTCGAACGCTGCTACAGAAGTGACCCTAGCCTGCTAAAACTCGTAAACTCGAGAATAGTAACAAACAATAACCTTTTTAGCTACTAAGAAGACTGCACACTCCAATTGTCATCTGCAATGTCGTCATTTCTCTCTATATTAGAATAATCATTGGCGTAGAATAAATAGAGATACTTCGTCTACAAGGGGCAAACCACAATCTTGGTTCCCAGTTCACTTAACGACCACGCTATGTCTCTTCTCAAAACGTCTAGTCGCTCGTCGCACATCAAACGAACCAAGCACTCTTAAGGTGCATATCCATTTGATTGTGTATCCTTGTATCGTATCGTATCGTATCATCATACGCAACGATACAACGCTTGCCCACCCACATTAATATACAGTAGTGATATCATATGAGGATACGCAACAAGTGGATACGTACCTTTAAACCTTTATTAATTTAGCATACATTTCAGTAATTCCAAATACCAAGTGGTAGAAGGCCCTTTCCATACGTTACTTTCTCCCCTAGTGGAAGCCTAGTTTGCTCGCCGGTGTACAGTAGACTCTAACTATATTGCCATGGTCGGGGCTGTAGGGGAGTAAAATGGCAATCAGTTCAGAGCCCCCTCCATGCTAAGTTCTATCGTCATAGCCTCGGCCAGTCCCTGCGCAAAAGCTGAAGGGGAAAGGGAAGTGCCCAGCGTGGCAATATAGTTAGAGTCCACTGTATATATTCATTCAGCGCCTGTTTCGTCTCTAGAATCAGCACCCACAATAGACAACCGCGACCATACGTCCAACGAGTAGAAATACAAATGCACGGCTGGTCAATGGTGCGATGCGGACTGTACAAGTCTGGGCTAACCGGTACTAATCATGTCGACTCGCGGCTACTTAACACGTTCCCGATACGGTAGAATAAAACTACTAACGAAGTAGCGAGAATGTACAGAGAGAGAGAGAGAGAGGATGAGAAAGCGAGCGAGAGTTGTCCGTGTCGTGCCAGTGACGCAACGTGCCCCGAGTCAAGTCCATTGTGGGACGTTGACTGTTTCAGTTTATCCGCTCGACCGCAGGTCCGATGGCGGGAGAGGAGAAGGTGTGACTATCGGTCATCCGCGCCTCTGGAACACACGGACGCGAAGCTCGTGGACAGTCGGCAAACGGTGCAACTGGTCGCCGTCAATAATCTCAGCAATCACACACGTCTGTTGGTCAAGTCCAAGGACTCGTTGACCCTCGCCGAGCAAACGCAGTGTTGATGGGAGCCGAGGAAGGACGACGGACTGTACAGAGACGTGACCAGCAGTAGAAGAGACGCGACTTAACATCGTCGAAGATCGGACTATTTCTTGGGCAGAAGAATTGGGATCGGGAACAGTGTTGCCAGTTTTTTTTTCGAAAATTCTCGCGAATACAGTTGTCTGAAATCGCCCAAAGTCGGAATAGTGATGTTGGAAAAATTTTGAAGGTCCTGTTAATGTGGGATTTTTAAATTGAAGTACCTATTTTAGTACGATACATTTAGAAAATAGACATATATAGGGTGGACTACGAAACGTGATCAGATTAGATTATTCTACTGCTAGCTGTTCGATCGAAAGTTAGTGTCGAAACTTAATCATCAATGGAGAAGTCGTAAATAGATCTAAGCAATCGTTTCTTACCTGTTTACGCGAGGGGATTACAGCTGATGGACACTATTTTGAACATCGTTTTAATTAAGGCTCAGTATCGGCTATGGGATGGACATAACAAAATTTTATCTATAAAAAACTGAAGGTGATCTTGAAAACTCGGAATAAAGGGTTGACAAAAAATTAGGTATAATCATCTTACAGCTTTCCTTGAAACATGTTATACTAGCCAAAACAATTTTCGATCGAATAGATGCTGATAAAAATATATAATATAAACCTGAAATCGCCCAGTTTGAGGATTGAGATTTCTTCAAAAAATTCATCGCAATTTTAGAACAAAAGTCGCCCAAATTGCGATAAATCATCCAATCTGGCAACACTGATCGGGAACGAACGGAAATCGGCGATGTAATCGAACGGTATTCCGCGGGAAAATTTGATTCAGAGGCGCCATCTTTGAAGATCATAGTGAAGAACCAAGCTAGCCTCGGTCATCTCTGACGGTACACCCTGTGATTTTATGAGCTGAAGGGAATGATCAACGAGGCGGCCAGGCTGACCGGTTGCAGATACAATGTTCACGTTGTTTAAAAGAAACGAAAGTACGGCTGTAATTAAAGGATTTTGAGAATGAATGAAAGATTGTGTTGAGAAATGATACCTAAAGGAGTATAATTTGAAAGTTGAATAATTTTGCTTTGGGACATTTAATCTGTTTAGGTATTGCAAGCAATTGGAGTGTAGACGATAAACATGGTGATATTGAGTTTGTATATTAGATAATAATAAATTAAAAAGATACGGTACTAAACATAAGAAAACGGAAGACCACAAATCGCAAACACAGTAAATGCTATTAAAAATTACGTAATATTTCTAGAATCTTTTTCTGCAAAATTCTGTTCAAAAATAAAGATTAAAATGAATAAATGTACATTTGAAAATATTAATAGAGCGATCGCAATTAATACGTTATTATTACTGTAAGGTTCGTTTATAGAAATTTTGGAGATATTCTTGACACGCTAAACTATTTTTGGAGCGAACTTGAAACGGAACATGCAAATAAAGAGTATAATCTCTATATTTATGTATGTATGTTGCATTGTTGAATAATATGTATATAAACGATCGTCGTTCAACTTTGTTAAATTAAATATTACCGAGACGAAAAGTTTGTACTTCGTTAAAATAATACGTAAGTTTCGGAGATAATTTATTAGAAGACGTGGTATTACATCTGCCATAACTGTTAAAAAAAATTGAGCCTCTTAGAATGAATATAACTTAATTCAATCAACACTGATTTGATTAACTTAATTTTTCTATATTTATACATTCTTAGACGCTCAATTATAAATTTTCTTCTTAGACTATAGTTAATTTTGTAATATACGCATCAAACAATCGTTCATTAAAACGCACACTGCAACCTGGAAATAATTTAATAATTTATTGACTGTTATTTAATAGTTACGTGAAAGGCAAGAATTTTCAAGTTAATGGCTACGAAAATTCCTATTTTACGCACAAATGAATATTATATAAATAATGTAAAAATCAGGTAAAATACTGAATGTTTCAAAAATGCATGTTAAAAGCGATCACTATCAAAAACAAATCATAGTTCCTAGAGTGTAGGAATTTATTGTACATACAATACATTTAATTATTAGATGAAATATTAAAAGGTGTAAATATGAAAATATGTTTCTTCCTTAATTACTAACATGCATTTCTGAAGTGACTTCCATATGTGTTTCTTCTCACCCCCTAACACCATTATGGTAGCGTTCTGTTAAAAACATTTAATTTAATGAAACGTTGATTAATGAGAAACGTACGAGAAGGAATGAATTACTGAGAATGAATATAACAGAAGTTTAATTTACGTTTTTTAAAATTCATTTTAAGCAATTCTAAAAAAAAATAGAAAAAGAAATCAAAATGAAATAATAAAGTACCATGTTAATTTTGTACATATTTATGTTTCGAAAGCACACCAGTTTTATGTAACTTTTATGCAAAAATGATTATCAGATAAATTTGCCACAACTGTATGTACCGTTCTGGCGAATACAGCTAACATGCAGGAAAACTGTAAAAATACTTTTAGCTTAAAAAAACTTTCATTCGTACCTGTAATAAAATTAATTTCACCGCTCCCGATTGACATTTAAAACAGATGGATTTGCTGCTGTGAATATTAAAGAAAAAGTGTTTCGGGAAAATGGAGAATAATGTGTATTTTACAAATTATTATTATAAATAAAACTAACAAACATTTGAACAATGTTATTAATAAAAATATTTTAGGTTTGACTGTATTAATGGCGATATAATACATACTTTTACATGGACGGTTTACAAAAGCCAATACATATAAATCAATATTTGATTTGTTGTACATTGTACATCCCCATATTACAAAAATAATATTTAAAGATTAAATATAATAAAAAAATTCAAAAAATTAATGTAAAATGTGAACGTACTGATGAAACAAAAATAATTCTACTTTACCTTCTTATTTAGATCTTCAAAAATACTTTAACTATTAATAATTCGGAAATACATATACATATAAGGTTATTCTTTGAATTCAAAAGATACATTTTTGTAAATATCCTTAATTCAATATTTAAATATATACATACATTCGGTTCAAAATCTCATTAATTAAACATTCTAATTTCACAATATTTAATCAATTAAATATTTCATCCGAAATCAATATTTATTTAAATCTTCAATTAAGCATTGCTTCGTTGAGTGAAATGTATATTACAAAGACCAAATTAGGTTCGCTATCCTTGGTAAAGTGAGCGCGACAGCAACGCTTGATAAAAGATTGACACTGTGATTATCTAAAATCTGTCTACCACAAATATATTTCACTCCTTTCCCAGGACGTTCCACCACCATTCCATTCTCATTAATTCCTGCATGAAAAAGCGAAATTACGAATACTATGGTTCAATGTGACATACATTTTTAGATGCTGTAAAACAAAATTTACCTGAATATTGTAACGTAGCCCCTAAAATAGAATCTATGATGCTACCAAGAAGACCTCCAATACCTCCAACAATAATAACAGGCCACTGTGGTGCAGCTAATTGAAGTATAGCCGTGTCTACAGTATATAGTATGGTTAAGTAATGAAACAAACCCACCAACAAACCACCGAGCGCGGAGACCAAAAGACCTACCCACGATATACCACCATTTGTTCCTATCAACATAAATAAGAATCACTGTTTGAAGAACCATTAATTCTTATTATTTCAATATCTTCACCTCTTGGTACTCTTTTCCTTGATGTAATTAAGAAAGGATCATGACTACCAACAACGGTTCCAATTTCCGAAGCCCAAGTATCACCATTGCAACATGCAAAAGCTCCTAAATAATGGTAATTACAAGAAATTAAACTATTGTTTCAGAGGCTTTTGTACATCCTGCAAAATCTGATTTATGAAATGAAATATACATTATCGTATTCGTTAAATGTACCTAAAATTCCAATTGATAACCAGGAACTTCTGTAATTCTTATCAAAATCTATAGGTCGTTCGCCACAACCAACATCCAATAGGTACAAAATTGCCAACTGTGTTGCCATACCACCATTGCACAAGACTTGAATCCAGTTTCTTTGCCCACCCTCTTTAAAGTCTGCCTCAAGTTTTCTCTTTTTGTGAGAACGAAATTTTGTTGCCTTGGAAGAGGAAACAAAGAATGTGAAGAGACAAGCCAGATGAGCAAAACTTGTAAGTGTCAGACTAAAACCCATGAATAATCCTGCAACGTAATGTTCACTTATACTTGAAAATGTATAAGAATCTCCTATTTCGTAATTATATGAATACTTAACATTTTTAATTATTAGCTCTGCATTTTAAATTATACTTTTGTCATGGCCATTTTATTGGGTCAGATTACGAACAAAGCCTACACATACTTATTCTTTCTGAATGATACCAATGCCTAATAATCATTCTAATAGATTTTATACAATACTTTTTTCCTTACTATGTATAAACAAATTGCATTTAATCTGTATCTTCTTTCATTAAAGAATTGAGAAAACACGTTATTACATACCGAGAATAACACCAGTGATATCCAGGCTTTTCTTTTTCAAACCCCAAAACGCCATCAAAAGGGGAATAACAACAGCAGACAACCACCTCCATGGTGATATCACTAAGTGCTCTGAGAAAAAAAGAGGTTATGTTAACCAAAACATTCGAGTATAAAAACAAAATAATATAAACGAAAAAAATAAGATACAAGTTCTTACCTTCGAAGTGATTATCTGTGTCTTTATGAAAGGTTGAATAGACTACGTTTACAGTCCAAAATAGCATAGATACTGGAATCGCACAGGCACTAAGGAAGACCGGCATCAATACATGAGACCGTTGATCCTCCTTTTTCGTCAATGAGAACATACTTTTCTTGATACACTGTTATCAATATCCTTAAAAACTAACTTTCGTTCATTTGACACAATAATTGAATTCGATTCGTAGTGTAAAAGTACTGTACAAAAGTGCGTCATAGACCCGGAAGAGAACCGTATTTGACCCACCTGTGGTACATGCATATATATGTATACAGTGATATACAGGGTGATTATCTCGCTGCGCAAATCAGACTGCACAGCTGCACTACAAGTAAGTCGTACAAGTGTCAGTCAAATTTCGACAGTTGCACGAGCGACATTAGACCGAGCTCGAGACTCGTACGAGCAACAGCTATAAAGGATCACGTTTCAAAACTCTGGCGCCATCTCCGGGGGGTTCTATGACCCCACGTTCTCATCACACAGGGTCTCTGGCGCCATCTCCGGGGGTTCCATGACCCCACGATCTACGAGTTGTCTTGTCGCCTATCCAGTATCGAGCTTCCCATCGCAAGTCACGGTTATAGACGTATCTCGGGAGTTTGTTGTTCGCTTCCTCCGTGTATTGTATGTGTTTATATTGGTTTCTTCTGTAAAATCAACTAAATTTTCACAATGAGTGCCGAGGAGGAAGTGTTACGGATTCAAAAGAAATTGAACAAGATGTCGAGCGGTGACGGGACGGTGAGTAAGTGAGTAAAATATAGTTGTGTATCGCTCGGCATATTCGGTCGGCCCTGCTCATCGAGAAAACGGAGCTGATTTTCGAGCTAAAATACGATTAATATGATTATCGTTTATTCATGCGACGTATACGAGCCAATTTTCCGAAGAAATTGTCGTTCCGGCGTGTTACAATTCTGCGCGCGAATCTCTGTGTACTCGCGGTGTTTGTATTACCTAAGGCGGTCAACGTATTATAAAACTTGTGTCTAGTACCTATTCTAATTTTAACTTAATAAAGCGTTGGTAGAAGTTCAATTATGCTCTTGCTGTGAAATTTTTATTGGTGTATGTGTTGTATACTTGGTTACTGTATTTTGAGTTAAATTTATTGCGGGAACTACCTATAATGATGCTGATTTAGTATGCAGAAGTGGCTAAGCGTGTGCAGTAGTTAGTAGTTGTATTATATATCTACATATATGGGTTCGAACAATGAAAACATGTATGAACAATGTATCAAATTCAAAATAATAAATAATGATAAAGTAAAATAAAATAATTACTTCAGGTTTAAGTTAATTGTACACTAACTGTTCACATTGTAATATACATAATTCATATTATGAAATATCAGTGAGTTCTGTATATTCCAAAAGTAATATTTTTATTACAGGGTCAAGAGCAAGCATTGGACTTACTCAAAGTATTACAGAAACTGCCTGTTGATTTAGAACTTTTGACCAAAACCCGTATTGGAATGACAGTAAATGCACTGAGGAAATCTAGTAGAGATGAAGAAGTTATATCTCTATCCAAAACTCTCATTAAAAATTGGAAGAAATTCTTGTCTGGTAAAGAATAAAATTTATTGGAATAGATATGCTAAAGTTGTAAATCTAAATTACATATTGATAATTATTTTTATTCAGGATCAAATAAGGAAAAGGATTCCACTTCTTCGAGCAGTTCAAAGAAGAGAGATGATAAGTCAGAAAAAAATAAAGATGATGGAGACCAGAAAAAAGATAAGGATAGTATGGATGGTGATGTCAAAATGAAAGAAGAAAAACCTCATAAAGATTTTCAAAGGAAACAATCCACATTTCCTGCACCTACCACAACAGATGCTGTTAGGCTTAAGTGCAGAGAATTACTAGCAGCAGCTTTGAGAGTGGATGGAAAATCAATCGAAGGTTGTGCCTCTCCAGAGGAACTGGCAGAGGAATTGGAGGAAGCAATTTATGCAGAATTTAAAAATACTGACAATAGATACAAAAATAGGGTAAGAATTTACATTTTTCGTTTACATATATCCACATGAAAATATGATTTAATTTTATACATATTCATCGTTAAATTTCTTAGGTGCGAAGCCGGGTTGCAAACTTGCGTGACGCGAAAAATCCGAATCTCCGAACCAACTTCATCGCTGGTGCGATAACGCCCGCTCGGCTTGCTGCTATGACTGCTGAAGAAATGGCAAGTGACGAAATAAAACAGCTAAGAGAACAATTCAAGAAGGAAGCAATTAACGATGCACAGCTTGCTACAGTGCAAGGAACGAAAACTGATTTATTGAAATGCGGCAAATGCAAGAAACGTAATTGCACATACAATCAAGTACAAACGCGTTCGGCTGACGAACCTATGACTACTTTTGTGCTATGCAACGAATGTGGAAATCGGTGGAAATTCTGCTAAATAGCCTGACTTATCGAAGTTCTTTCTGGAGAAGAAATGTATTTCGTTCAAGACCTACCTATTAACATTTATTAGAGTTAACGAGTTATCATTGAAGATATAGTGCATAAAATTACGATTCACGGACTGTACATTGATCGCTTGACAAATTTTTAATCTCTTCACAAGTTTTAGAGTACTCAATTTCTATTGTATATATTGAAATTATAACTTACTAGGCCTCTCTCTGCTTTATGAAGTTGACATCACACGTGAAAGGAAATTCGATGATTCAGAGAAATCGATTAAGAGACTTTTAATTATATTATTAATCAATGCTACTCGAAGCTCCAAAATGTGCGAATGGTATTAAAATGAAAGTAACGTTTCATTTTGCACTGTACAAGTTCTCACAATGACTTATCTATGGAAAAGGTCGAAATTGTGGGCACAGTTCTGAAATACATGTATGTGATTATAATGTAGTATTTTTACAACCCTGTATGATAGAAATCAGAGTTCCATTTTTAGAAGTGAGGAGAGTGTAGTGTGATTACAATAATCTCGTTTTTATTTAAGGTATCACTTATTTTTGTTTTGTGATTAAAGAATATCAAATGTATATCAAGGATGATCCGAAAAACGGACTTGGGTGAAATTGAAAGTCAACTATACAGTATCCTTTATCCCACAACAATAAAAGGTGGCATTATTCTAAACTTTATCAATTTCATCATATACGGTATTTACTCGTTACAAGTTCGCAACTAGATAAGAACTAGTGATAGCTTGCTTTTGCTTTGTTAAAAGTAAAAAAAGCAAGTGTGAAATAATTTGAGGTCACTTGTAGGAATGAGTAGGTTTAGGATATCTATGCAAATAGAAATTCTTATGAAGTTTACAGAAAGAAGAACCAAAGAAAAATTTTGTACTTTATCAAGGGTTTTCTTAAGTTCGAAATATGAATGTTAGACAATCATACATGCTATAAATGCATAAAATCCTCAGTCTAAAATGAGCTCATTTAACATAGAGGAATTGAACTTATACTGGCAATGAGAAAATATATATGTATTCTACTCGATAATCTGTACGATTCACCGTCGGGTGCCGCCTAGAGATGGCGTGAACTGCTACTTGTGAATCCTAACAGTTCTTTACACGCGACACATAATCTGTATATTTTATATTAACATCAAAACAAAAATTCGAGTTATATCGTATACAATGAAGCAATACTTAGAAACAATGAAGAATAATGAATAAATTAATGATTATAATTTATAATCTACATGTTACCTAGCAAATCATTCTTTTAGAATTTCTTGTTTTTTCTACTGATTTTTACAAACACGAATAGTAATGTAATTCATCGTAAAATCATATTGAATACGTTTTTCTGTTTAAAGATCAAGGACTTACGATCGCAGTGAGCAAATTCACTCAAGATAAAAAAATCGCAATCACGGTCGTGAATGAAGTTAAATCACGCACGACCGTGATCGTGATTCGGCGATCACTGTGATGAATCACTGTTAGTGATTTCGCACGCCATCTCTAGTGCCGCCACTGGAACTCGATGCTTATAGCAATTTGGGCTTCACCGTTTAAGTACTACTGCACGTATACATAATTTCTAACCATTTCTAACCTAACATTAATCAGTGTCATACGTGTTATCACACTTCATGCAGTACATATTTTCAAACATTTTCCTAATCGCATATGATTTGTCACTAAAAATATCCAAGGAAATGAAGTTACGTAGCTCTATGTGCCTCAAATGACACATACGAATACAAAGTAAACCTGTTTGTTACCATGTAACATTACAATGAAATACTTTGGTGCAGTAACAGCACATTCGATGGATATCCGCGAGAGCATAAGTTAACGTTTTCTAGTATAATAAATAATTAATAAATAATTCTCTTGCGTGTACCGTACGAGGCACGATTTCTCTAGAAAATATACAGACATTTCCTGATCGCCACTATGTGCGAAGACGCCCATATTAAAGAGCAATGGCAACTTTTACAAAAATTACGGACCACCGTCGAGGGTTTATTAGTCGACGGTGTTTTAAACGTATGGAATGTCTATGGTGGTTTAAATCGCCTTCACAATATAATGGAGCAGATATTTAAGCATGGCTGTCGAATATTTAATCGAAATGTAAGATAATTTCCTCGTTTCTTTTGAATCACCCGGATGGGATATATCGTTGTATAGAATAGTTTATATCAGTTGTATTTAATAATGTCTACCACTTGTTTCTATCTTTTAAATCTAATTACATTATTAGAAACATTATTTTATTCTTTTCTTCTTTCTATTCAAGATGTTTTGTTTTTCACTTGTTTATAATTGAAATTAATGTTATTGAGTGATAACTATGAAACAACGTTAAAGAGGAATACTATTGCACAATGTTGATACCGAGTAGAGTTAAAACTAATAAAAATTTTTATAAGGGAGAACCAGACTGTTGGATTTTCATTCAAGGATTAAATTGGCTACAACCTTCTTTAGCAGTGTCACCTGTCTTATCTGAAGTTGAAGATTATCTTTCAAATTTACCAGCAAGAATAACATCACAAAATGATATGTTATGGCTATATAAAAGGTAAGTACAAAAATAAATGAAGAAATTTTATATTTCATAAATCTTGTATTCATATAACATATTTACGCAACATGATTTAAATATTATAATATAGCTTGGAAAGTCATTCTCTGTCACAGAAGCTATCATGGCTCTTGTCTGATAAAAAACATTTACTTTCTTGTTTTGAACCATGGGCATTCTTGTGTCAAGAAACTTTAGCTGAAGCTACACTGTTATGTTTGAGAGCAGTTGAACGAGGTCAACCTGTGTTACTCACAGAAATTGATCCATCTTTGGTAAATTAGTCAAATCATATTTAATCTTATGATATTCACATGTTTTATATATATACATATAATTTGTTTTAGTTCCTACCTTCTTGGATTTCACCCAAAACAAGCCCTAAAAGACATAGACGATCTTCTTCATATCCAATTCATTTTCCTACCACAAATTTCAGTGTCATAAGAGACCGAAATATTCACCTTGCAAATTGTCAGTTAGAATCTCTAAGGATATCAGAAAATGCGAGTATCCAACAAGATGATGTTAAGTCTGCAGAAAACATTCATAAGACAGATCTCAAAGAAGTTAATGATATACCTTTAAAAACTTGGAATAGTCTCTCTGCACTGACTAAAAGTTATACAATTCCAGGCACAAGTTCTCCCTCTTCCTTAGCTGTTACAAATACTAGCTCCCATAGAAGTAATGAGTCTCAGATCTGTTCGGTTGAATTATCAAAATTAATTAATGTAAATTATGCTGAATTAAAGCAATCTACTTCCACTATTGTAGATAACAAGTTATATGTAAGACCTAGAACACCTCTAAGAAAGACAAAAACTAGAAGTAAAATGAAACAAAATCAGACGGTTAAGAAATCCAGCAATGACTCTGACACAACAAATTATGAAGATTCATTAATAAATACGGTAACGGAATATCGTATTTCACCCCCTCTATTGAATGAAACCGATGCGAATGATCATATAACAGACTCTATAGAAATTGTAATAGGTCAAGAACCAAGAAGGAAGAATTCATTTTTGCCAGCATCAGCGCCTGAATTCATTAGTCCGTGGAGTTCAGGAATCGAGGGTCAGAAAGACATCAGGACATCGAAGAAAAGCTTCATGGAAGATGGAGGAAGTAGTGTTCAACCAATGGCGACAGGATATTTTCCACGTCCAGTAGAAGGCCAAAGTTTGACAAGCTTTTTAGCATCTGCACAATTTTCTAGAGCCAATGCTGAATTAGACAGGGAAAACGCGCACTTTAGTGTTTCTGAAGCAATGATAGCTGCCATTGAACAAGTAAAATTCAATAGGCAATGGAGCCTCATGGAAGAAGTTGCCGAGGAAAGCGATGAGGAGATAAACTGTTTGAAACAAAGAATACGATTGAGGCGTCGACAACGACGGGAGGAGCGATTTAAGGGGAGAACATGGAATCGCGATTTATTGAGTGATGGAAAAACTGATACTACTACTACTACTGATCAAAGTGTTAGTCCTTTGTCAACTTCGTCGGATACTCCGTCTGAAAATATTTCTACAGACGATATAGAGGATGTAGAAATGAACGATGAGCGGAATGCATTAAAATTGAAAAATACTGGAATTTCTATATCCATGGCATCTTTATATTCTGATGCAGATTTATATCAATCATCCCCTACACACCGAACAGAGTCGACATTAACGGAGAGCAGTATGTCTGCAGAAGGTGTAGCCTTGTCACTTATTAGTAGATTTAGTGAGAAACAATTACCAAGGGCAAGTGAATTACAATGGCTTGTCTCTGAACGAGATGCACCACAGAGATTGTTACCATTACCTAAAAGCTGGCCAATTAGCCCAGACGAGGCAGAAAATTCAGAGACAGTTCCGTTGCGTGGAACGATAGAATGGGCTCCGCCGAGACCACAAATTATTTTTACACCGCATCCTCCACCAGTGTAAGTATACAGATTTAAATAGTATTGTTAATATTATATGTACGGAAGTATACAATTAAGTGTGAATGAATTTCTACGTTTAGACGGCGAATTCTTATAGCCAAACAGAATTACAGATGCGCAGGCTGTGGAATGAAAGTTGCAGTAAAATACGCAAATAAATTCCGTTACTGTGAATATTTAGGTAGATATTTTTGTACCGGTTGTCACACTAATCAAGTTGCACTGATACCAGGAAAAATTTTGTCCAAATGGGATTTTAATAGGTACAAAAAGTTTTAGTTAACATACACGATCGTTTATATTGTACCCGTATATCGTAATAATTATTTCTTATACTTTCACATAGATATCCCGTATCAAACTTTTCATACAGACTATTGGACCAGATGACATCAGATCCATTGTTTCAAGTGAACGATTTAAATCCATTACTTTATAGACGTATAAAGCAATTGGACAGAACTAGATTACTACGTACACAATTATTTTTCTTTAAAGACTTCCTATTTACATGTCGTTTTGCAACAAGGTATGAATTTGGTTTATCTGTCCGATTACTATAAAATGTTACTAAATTTACGTTTATTCCTTCAGTGTTCAAGAAGTATTAAAGAAAGAATCGAATTTTATGATAAGCGATCCTCATGTATATTCCATTCAGGATCTAATACACGTTAAGTACGGAATTCTGCCTATGAGATTACAAGAATTAGTCCAAGTCTGCAATATGCATATTGTAGGCTGTGAGGTAATACGCTAATATTATGCCTTTGTTATAAATCATATTTTGATTAATAGTACATTACTGTTTTAGTTATGCCATGCTAGAGGATTCGTGTGTGAAGTGTGTTGTTCCAAAGATGTAATATTCCCATGGGAATTGTCGAAAGTCAGTAGATGCGAAATGTGTGGCGCATGTTTCCATAGTGAGTGTAAACAGAACAAAGCAGATTGCCCACGTTGTATTCGTTTGCATGCTAGACGAATATCCAGAGATGAAAAACTTTGACACACGGTAAAATTATATTATATTGTACGTTTATTTATAGAGATTGAATTAATGTGCTCTAACTAAGGAATGAAAGATCAAACTTGTTTTCAAAAGGCTATATTTTCTAAAATTGTAGATATATCCAAGTTTCTATTTATCGTATTTATCTTAGATTTATCAGCACAGATTGTATATTCTTTTAGTTTTTGAAAATTTAATATATTTATATTTATAGTTTTTAACTTTGTAATGTGTAAATCGTGTAACGTTTTAAAACATAGTATTCTCTCAAAGTAAAAGCTTATTTATTGCAGTTTTATAAATTTAAAATGTAGCAAAGACTGAACAAATGTGATATTTAAATAAAACTATAACTTTATTACATAAGTATTTCTATATCGCTTTTCTTAACTGTTACGTATTACTTTGTTTAATATTACGTAAATTGTTATTATAGGTAAATAGGATAAAAATTATTATTTATTTATAAGATGTTATCTTGAAACATTATAATTTATTTAAATAATAGAAAGTAATAGAAATTATATTAGTTGTATTTTGCATTTTCTCGAAATATGAACTTTAATTTGACAATCCTTTGAAATATTTAATAATTAAGGCATGTAAATTATTACATGTCATATGATGAATGCAAAGTGGCAATAACATTTTAAATACAATGGGCCAGAGGAGTATTACCTTTATACTAAAAAAAAAAGAAGAGATAGTAGACATGAATATGATACCTATTTATCCTCATATATGCGTTGTTTATTTATATTGTTAATATGAACGAGATGTTTATAATAAAATGTTTTTGAAAAACTTACATTCTTAAGTTCCCGAATTATTTTTGATTTCGAAAAATTATATTGACTCCCGATACTATAACCGACAGATTAAAAATCATTATTTGATTTTATTAAATTACACTTCGTTTACAATGGTTCACATACACACGTCTTACAAAACAGTAGGTATTAGTACATTCACTGACGGTAAAAAAATATATTATGACATTATATATACACCACCTAATTTCAATAAGTCTTAGAGTTGTATAGTAATCCTTAGTTGTATGGCTTCCATTATAAAGAAATCGCTTTAAATTTTTCCTAATAATTTTTGAAAATATGTACACGTCGATAATTGTAATCAGTATGTACAACTACTTTCTCAATCAGATATATATATATATATCTTACTTGTTCTTCTCGGTAGTAGTTCTAAATATTTTAACGTAACTAGCTCGTTAGGGTACAAATTGCATAAGTTATTATGTGTGAGAATTTTTTCGCGTTTGATCGCACCAAAATTTCAAATACATTCATATCACAGGTGGCATTTTTGTAAAGGCTATGTCATGTTCGTTAAACAGTACATGTTTATATATTAGTAACTATGGCATGAGTTAGGTTTGAGAAAATAGATCTCCATTACACTTTAATTTAAACGTGTAATGAATTCGATTCATGGCAATAAATAGAATCTCATATAGAATGAAAATTAATTAAGAAATGAGTTTCTCTATAAGTTACATATTTGCATATTAAAATTTACTACTTTTATGCAACTTGTCGATATAAATTAATGTCTTTAATTCCCTTCGTTTGAATAGCGAAGGAAACAATCTCTCCTCCACATTCACCCCCTCTCTTTTATACCGGTAATTTTACGCCGTGCGATGATTAAAAACTTATCGTACGTTCCGGTATCTTATGTAACTATCTTAGGAGCATACACGGTTTCTTTCATCAGTCTATAAAGTGCAACAACAATGCATAACAATACGCCACACCCCTCCTGACGGCTTCATTAAAAACAGAGATGCCGCATAATTTTCATAAGATCCATTCGTATTGTGTATACACGTACCAATTCAATCAAAGGCAACGAAATTGTCTCGTAGTACTTATTTGTATAGCAAAGAAAGAAAAAAATGAATAAAAGATTAATATTAATCTTTTTCATGCATATAAAAAAGATTTTGGAAATACTAATTTCTTTATCAGAATAACTGTAGAGTATAAAAGCGTGGCGCTAAAATAAATTTCTCAACAAAAAAAAAATTAAAATAACTTACAAATACTGAGATTGTAGAGTAATATAGAGATTATTAATATTGTATAAATAACTACAAAAAAAGAAAAGGAAAAAAAAGGAAAAAAAGAAAACAAAATTGCGTTACTTATCTGTCCTTCTGGATATTGTATAAAGTTCAAACTGAGCTTCACAGTCATTTGATTTCGTATGGTTTATGGACAATTGATAATTCAGATTTTGTTCTACGACAATTTCATTTTTAAACGAAGAAAGGTCATTATGGTTTGTATATTCACGCTCGGCGACCATCTTAATCATTTATAAATTTCATTACAGGCTACCTAATAATAATTAGGTGATCCTATGTATTATTGTCAACCATGTTTTTTTTTATATCTGTGTCTATTCCTTAAACTACTTATATTTCTAGAATATCTTTTAATGGCAGCTTTGCTACTTCGAAAAATATCCTAAAATGTAGAAGAAAATAATGAGTTTTCAATGTTAACATAATAACACTGTAAAATTAATATACCTAAGTATTATTTTATAAATGAAATAATATATTTTTAGGCTTACTTATGACTATACTTGTTGCGTACTGTTGTCAGAGCTTCCTTATGTTTTCGATGTAATCCTTCATTTAAGAGATGTACAATATCTCTTATGTCATCAACTTTATAACCACTATAATATTCTAAGGTTGGAGTCCATCCTCCTAGGTCTTTCATTTGTAATGCGAGAAGAAGTGCTGCAGCAGCCATTTTACTATCACTGAATCTTATCATTGAATAATCCATCAGTGAATACTCCAAAATATATCGAGCTAAAGTTAGTGTCAGCATCGAAACTTTCGCACACTGTATAACAATATTATGATTATAATTTGGTATAATATAAATGAAATTATATAAAAACAACGAGAATAACGCACCCTAGCGTATCGTCTAAGAAACCTATAAGAAAGAGGTATACCGAGATCAAAATCTACTACTTTTAGTACGCTCATTTCCATTCTAATTAATTCTCTTTGTGTGTAAGCACCGTCACATATATACAAGAAATCTTCAACCATGGGAGGTATTCTCTCCTATAAAAATCACGAGGTAGAACAACCAAGAACTGGTAATTTTGAAAATATAATGATGACGTTAATACCTACATCATATTTACTTGCTATAAAAAGACTTGCAGCACCTAACAACTGTAATGTCTCTTTTCCAACTGTTACTTTCGTCAGGTATAAATCAACTAGTTTCACAGCCAGATAAAGAGTTTCGTGATTTAATTCAAAAGATTCCTGAACTTCTACCATCCAGTCAACTAATAAGGCTCTCATCCACCGTGAAAGACACACTTGTCTTTCCATATAATCTCCAATAGGAAACAAACGTTCCCTGTCCTTTAAATAATTGAAGATATCCGTGGCATAATGAGAGACTTGAAATGGGTCCAACCAATTCTCTGCATCAAAGTCCCATTGCACTCCCTCAGGTAATACTGTTTCAGGAACAGCATCCAAACGAGCAGCTATCGACTTCTTTTCAGGTTTTTCAGGTTTTCCAGGTACTGGAGATTTACTTATTTCATCTTTTTTCTTTGATTTTTCAGATTTCTCAAGCTATGAAGATGTACATTTGTACATTAAGTTATACGGAGTTTAATTTATACATATAAAAATTATACCGAAATATACATGGAATAATGAAAGACCATGCGACCCTAAGAACCGTGCTATTGAAGCCGTGTCGGCACGTGGAAATGTGTCAACGAACCCTCACTGTTGATGGCGCAGGGACAAAGTCGCCGTAGCAGAGCCATCGATAGCGATGGTCCGTTTAAACACGTCGACACGGCTTTAATCGCGCGGTTGTTTAGAACGACAAGGCCTCTGCAAACCTGCATCAAGGCATAGTATAATGTGAGAAACTGCTCACCTGTACATTACTTCTCCGTGATTTCCTCTCACTGTCATCTCCTATATCCTCTAATGCACTTACATATAAAGAACTATCCTCTGATTTTTCTAAATCTAAACTACGTCTAAGATTAACAATTTTACTAGGTACTTCAACTTTTTCATCATCTTTTTTTACTGGTTTTACACGTGGCACTGGCTTTGGTTTGGGAGGTACTATCTCAGCTTTAGTCACAGCTTTCTCAAGCGTTCTAACTGAACTTGTCTGAGTATAAGGTTTTATTTGAGTAACAGTTGGCTTTTTTACAGCTTTCTTTGGTTCCTGTTGGTGTGTTCCCAATGTCTTTCCAATAGCCTATCGTTAAAAAAAAAATTAGAACCATTCACAAAGTAATTTTGACAAAAGAGAAATGCTAAAATAACATACATTAGTAATATTTCCTAATGCAGATCTCTTTGTTGTTTTCTCCTTTGGTGGGGATGCCTCGGCTTTTCTTTTACTACGAGGATCTTTCCCAAGAACAGATGGCTTGATTAAAACATTTACTGTAGAATTCTGACTTCTGGTTGTTATTCCTTTTCTTGTAGCTATGTTAGTATTACTTTGTTTATTTTGTGAATTTAAAACTTTTGATGGTGCCATCTTCATGAATGATTAAAAATATAATATTATGGTTCCTCCCTGTGTAAGGAAAATGAAGGATTGATCACAATTTAAGCTTGTTAGTTTTTCTGTTTTTGTTAATATAATTTCATATGTTACTATAAATTTCTATGCGCTATTAATTAGATACAGGGTAATTTTGTTGTAAGAGCAGGGTAAAATTATGTGTATCTGAACTTTTTTACTAAAAACACATTTTACAGAATAATGAAATAGGACACATAAATTTTTTGAATTAATTCGAGTCTTTTAAATAAAATTAAAAGATCTTTAAATTCCAAAATTATATATGCATAATTGGAATCTGTGATCATCAATCCCTTTAACATCAAGTCAGGCTTATTGTACGGACTTTAGATTCAATTTAATAAATATAAACATTTTTCATCTGCCATAATTTCAAGTGAAATATTCTTTTATTGTTATAAATATCTGTACAAGTATAGATATTTCTTTTCGTGTTAAAAACTATAAACTACGAATTCTGTAAACAGTAAACGAACGTTGTGGCTGAACGATTGTGTTCTCAGAATATACGAATAATTTTATATTTATGCATTTTGACCATCCTATGACTAGAGGACGTTAAAATATTGTTATATCCGAAATACATTCCGCGGTGTAAAACGTAGAAATTTGTAAGATAACATACGACTGCACGGTATGTGGCGTATACGTGGCCGACCAGCTACTACGACACGAGACTTTGGAACTAATAATTCATTAAATTCGTTCGCTTCTTCTATCACCAGCGTAATTTTATCATACTCCGATAAACAGCCTATTGATTGATAATAAGATTGGAACCACTTTCTGTGATAAATCCAGAGGATTTCTTCACTTTCTTTCTACACGAGAGTATTCGTTAACTTGATTCATGGCGCGGTGCATTCATCAAGGTAAAAACGCGGGAACGTAAGTTAAGGACATATAGTTAGAAGACACACGAAAACACATTTTCTTCACGAGAATAAACATTACTCGTATGACCTTTGAAAGGGACCTAGCGTATGAAAAAAAGCGGTAAAAGGAACGGATAACAGAATTTCACCACGGCTTCCATGAAGACAAGCGATCACGAAAACAAAACATTCACTAATCTGTTCGAGTTACGAGCAGATTATTTATATGAAATTCACACTAACACGCAAGACACGAATGATTTTGATTTACCTGCTACCGATGATTATTGTTTATTGTGCTCTGGCTCGCTGGAATCTCTCATTTATGAAAATCTTGTGCCACAAGTACGTTACCGTAGTGTCCATTCGTCTCACCAGAGCAACTGAAGTTGACGCTGGTTCAAAATATCACAGTTACCATTAGCGTTTCCTCCGATTGGTCCGCTACGATTAACGAGATCCAATCGAATGCCTGGAAAGATCACTGTGCGCCACCTATCGACTAAACTTATATTCATGCCATACTACTTTGTTTATTCGAAACGCATTGTTTCGTTTTTTACCAATTTATACGCTACGATACGATTGTTTAAATATTTTGTGGATTGTATATTAACAGAAAAAATTTGAATCATGTTTAATATGTAATTTATACTGCTTGTAAACGTCGTATCATTAAGCTTTAAAGTTAAGAGTTTCATGGAATTGTTAACCAGATTAACTGGGACTAGCTATTTGCCAAATATTTCTCTTAGTAGTATTCGAATGTAACATCCAAATACCTAAACACTATTCTAATAAGATTTGAATATTCAAGTACAGTTTTAATCCGAACATAATGTCCACTTGATCGAATACTATCGGAGTTTAACAAAGTAATCCGATTATTGATTGTGATTCATAAATAGTCAAGAACTGTGATTAATAAATTCAAGAATTAATCATTACTAATTAATCTCAGTAATAATTAGTAATTATTATCGTGGCTACTTTTATAAGTCAATTACAAAAGTAACCACAAAATAATCAATTATTGGGTAACTCTGTCTGGTATTCGGGGAACATTTGAACACTTATAAAATATTTGTATAGTTCAGAGTTCAGACTCAACGTATTTGTAAAATAAAACAATGAGTTTGTAAATATAAATATTAGTCTTAATAATTATCCATGTAATATATCCCATTTTCGAAGATTTGCCCGCTGGTCGATCCGTCAGATCGCACCTTCGCATCATACACAAGTGGATTCCGGCAAATGGCGGGTGCTTAATAATTTTCAATAAATAATTAACCTTTGACCCGTATGTAGTCATTCGTTCGAAAGTACAAAAACATAGCATGCTCGACAAGACGAGTCGGAAAATTGTAGAATTAGCCGTTTAACGAAGAATATTATCGCGGCAAGCTTTTCTATTCGTCGGTGTTTTGCTAACCTAAATGAATATGATTCTCGTTCACATATTGTGACAGTTTGGCACGTACCGAATAGTTATCGTATATTCTCTTCGTATGTGTGTGTCGTCGCGTATTGCATCCTGAGTTTCCGTTTTATCCGTTTGTGGTTTCCTTACAAACAATCGAAAATGCAGAGTGAACGTTTGATAGTTAAGTACATAAAAGTGAACAACTGCTTCGCCTATTTGCCAGACGCCTGGCTACGTAAATTGGAAACTAAGGTTGGTGTTATACGTCTCACGTAATTCGCTACGAATATATAAGCATGTATTGTAAAACACGTATCACGCGTGCAACGGTAGATAGAAAATCTGTTGTGCCAATCAGAACACAAACAGGATACAGCTGACTTTAAATGAATCAATAACGTGATCTCCCGATAGATGTCGCGAACATCTGTTTTTTTTTTCAATCCGATCGGTAAAGCATATCTTCACGGTTCATCGATCGACATATGGGAAAGAAGATTGTTTACCTGTTGTTGATAATCGATCGATAGATTTTAAAAACGTTTCGTAATATTCTGTAGATATAATCACTTTCTTCTATAACGATAATGATACAAATTTATAAACCGTTTTTCTTATGAAATTTTCCCCTCAATTGGTTTTATAAAACAGTTTATCAACACTGTGACTGCTAGGCTAGTTAGTTACCACGAATTTTCCTCAAATTTAATGAACAATAGCTGCTTGGAATTGCAGGAAAATGCGATTGAAATAGAGCATAACGGTAAAACGTATTATGCCTCGTGCAGCGCGAGCGCAAATCACAATGAAATACTATGCCTTGGTACAACGTTTGCCAGAAGTTTGGGCATCAACGAAGGAGATGAAGTATTCATATCATCTGTGAAGGATGTGCCACATTTAACAAGAGTTAACGTTATACCTCGTACTGCGGATGACAGGGAGATTTTGGTAGGATTAGAAAAATTCTTATCACTTTTCCCGCTGGATCAGAATTTCCAAACTGAAACGGAGATCATTTTGTAGGAATTGCAAATGGAAAAGGTGCAATCGACATTGCTCACTCAGATCCGCGTGGTGGCCAAGGGTCAACCAATTGTCGCGTGGGTGTCAAAATTTTCGTCAGTAGTATTTATCGTAGGCAAGTGTAAAATCCAAAAAATTAAATCCATTTAAATTATTTATATAAAAATCCATTAAGGGATTATCCACCGTTGGGGGGGTTAAAAAAGTTTCACGATTTCTCTTTATCGCACAGAATTCCTGGAGCCAAGTGCCAGGTACGGAAAACTGGAGCAATTAACAGAGATACACGTGGCGGACGTAGTGGAAAGTAAAAAGACAGAATCATCCCCTAAACAGAACACACAATCCGTCAACATCGCCGACCATTTATCGACTACATTAAGAAGACTCTTACCGTTAGCAACCAGACCAATCGACGATAGATCAAAAGAGAAGGCAGCTAGAAATTACAATCTCCTTCAGAGTTTTCGCCAGAAAAAGAAGCCAATTATATATCGCGTCCATCCACTTCCAAAGGCGTCGAAAGATGCCAAGGAAGGGAATTCCATCAACGAGATTACAGGCTGTCCGTATCACGTGTTCATACCAAGAAGCCAGGCGCCAAAGTTCGATGGTACATTCGCTATTTGCCGCGTGAAAAAGGTACCAGAGAGTAGACAGTACGTGAACACGACCAGCACGGGTTTCCTTACAAGGGACGAGTCCCCTGTACCCAAGCTGGCCACGGAATTGACTGTGAGAGTTTTCATCCTTGAGGACCTACTGGAAGGATCCTCTAATTCGAACAAGGATTATTTCAACACTGGCCTTCTTCACAGAAGCGTGTACGTCTCGGATAGTTTGAGGATTACCTTGGGCTTAAAGGTGGGAGCAAAAGTGAGCTTGTGGCAGGTCGAGTCTCCCCAGCAAGTGAATCCATCTACTATCGAACTATTTTCCTGGCGGGACTCGGAGTCCACGAAGATTTTTGAAGGTTATGTTAGGACACATTCGATGCAAGAAGGGTTACTGATCAATTCTGGTGCCGTTGTTGTTTTTGACGGAGGTCAACAATGTATCGTGAAGATCTCACCAGAGGAGTGCACGTTTGCCCTGATAGATGAGACTGTCTTAAAAGGATTGAGGATTCACGCAAGATCCGTGACTGACAAGAGCGATCTGCGGCTATCGGAGAAGACTGATCAAGAGAATCATAGACTGGACAAAGTTTCTACGCGGTACTAACCTGGTTTTCTTTCGAGATTTTTCGATTCTGTATTTTTTCAGTTTTTTTTTATTCGATTGATATTATCATTCAGGCACTTAAAGAATATCTTGACGGAATGTCAAGTCACGCTCGATCTCAGTCTCGGTCTGCGCAAGCAATTGGATTTCCATTACGACCGGGAGAACATATTAATTTCTGGCGATGTCGGTTCCGGCAAGACGACCGTTTGTAAAATACTCAGCGAATATTTGCAAAATGCCCCGTACTTCGTACACGTTCACACGATCGATTGTAGATCGTTGAAAGGTAATTGATTCGGGCGTTTTCGGAGCTTATTGGCCGCCATCTTTATTCGTCTGAAAACCATTAACTTCGAGTGGAAATCATTAACTTCGTCAATTTTTCTGGCGCAATCAATGATTTAGAACTGTGTGTAATTTCTTGCGAATGTTCGTTCGACTTTTTGTTTATTTCTTTCAGGAAAAAAGGCTGAGATGTTACAAAAGATAATAACAACCGCACTAACGGAATGTATTTATTATCAACCGTCCGTGTTATTTCTGGATGATCTAGAATCCATCACGAACGCGTCTACGAACGACGAAGAGAATACTCCGGACGCCATGAACGCCGCCAGGTATTTTCTCCCTTACCTTCCATTCTCAGACACGATTTCCTTAAAAATGTTTTACACGAATATGAGAGGGTGTAGAAATGTTCTCTTATCAGGATTACAGACATGTTCATTAACATGGTGACACAGTACCAAGAAACGTACCACGTGTCAGTGATCGCCACGTGTGCTGGTGTTAACAGGATTGGCCAGAAATTGCGACCAGCGAGAGGGTCCCATTTTTTCAGAACAGTTTTATCGATACCAAACTTGGAAAAGGTACGTAATTATACATTCTAACAATGCAGGATCTATTATTTTTGTGAAATTTAACCCTCTAATGGTAAGGTCCGGGTCGCATACGACCCAAGTTACAGTTCCTCTTGTGCTGTCCCCACTCTATTTTTTATTATTTTTATATAATTCTCGTTATAAAATATTTTGTATTATTTAGTAAACATTTAATATTTGCATTATTCTATGTTATACAACTCGATTCTTATTATATAAATAAACAAAAATACATTGTTAAGATAATAACTATTTTTTATCCATTTGAAAATAACAGAAGAAAGCTTGGGTCGGATTCCCTTACCATTCGAGAGTTAATAGTTGTTTCGAAGGAATTTAGAGGTTTATGTTACGTCACCTTATTAATCGCGATTGTTCTTTAGTACCTGACGCCATTCTTTTGGACACTTTGTTCGATTTTTTCCTAAACGTCGACTATTCAGAAATTAGTAGCACCGAAATCAAGAGGAACGCTTCAAGTTCTAATGTCAGGTGAATCGTTCCCCTAAGTAAGGGGTGGCACGTTAGCGAACCATGAAGCGAACTGTTAAACAGATTAGCGTATCGCGAGGCGTCTACGTTATTGTACGAATCCTGTTGGATTCGGTGTAACCCGTGTAACCCGTGCTCTCTAATCAGGTGGATAGAATCGATATTTTGCAATTAATGCTCGGGGACAAGTTGTACGTGCCTCGAGACGTGAATTGGGATTACTATGGAAACAAGACCGAGGGATGGATGGTACAGGATCTGGTCGATCTGGCGGAGAAAACCGTGTTCGCCGCTTGGAAACGTCACGGTAACGAGACTTCACGTAATTGCTTTCACCTTGCGATCACGAATTGTTCGCATGCGATATTAATTACCATTTGAATACCGTTGAGAAATCATAACACTTACAAGGAGAGGTCCGTAGGTGTAGGACCGTTCCTGGGCTGTTGGCCGCCCAGGTGTAAAAACAGTATGGCCGTCCTTATTAATTTAATATTATACAATTAAGAATTCGATATGCAGTGTTTACTTTTATGTATATATATAATAATAATAATAAAAATATATACGGAATAAAATATTCATTTTTAATAAAACCATTCATTTTTTAAGGATCTTTGTTTCATTTTATGAAAATAAAAATTAGAAAATATTATTTATTTTCATAATGTGAAACAAAGATCCTTAAAAATTGAATGGTTTTATTTAAAATGAACATTTTATTCCACATATAAGTACGAACAAATGTAATAAATATAAAAAATGTGCGATTCCATTTAAAGAAACAAAGTTGACCTTCTTATGACCTCCACGCGTCTGCATAGACAAAAATTACCTATTGATACCATTTAATTTTTGTCTGAAACATTTTTTAATATCGTTAACAGTTTCGGAGATATTCGAGTGGGTCGATTTAAACGGGACTACAGAAAGGATGTGATTTTACATGTAAAAATAAGTCGAAAATATAGAATTAAATTTTTTTATACGAAGCTTCGTTTTCAAGATAATCAACTTTCGAAATCCATCTAACAGGCATGTATGTACCTACTGGCGCTGAAACTAAGTAGAAACGGAGTGTAATGAACAGACGCATTAACCAAGTCCTATTCAATTACACGCGCATCCAGCGGATGTTCAAATAGGATTGTCTCGAAAACGAAGCATCGTACAAAATAACTTTATTCTACATTTTCGGTTTATTTTTGCATCTAAGTTCATTCACATTCTTTTAACATTAAAAATCTCATAAACTAATAGTCATATACGGCTGAAACAAATATCATTGGCTTCAGAATTCCAAGTGCTATCACTGTGATAAATCTCATTAGTAAGTCGTCGTTACACCTGGGGACCTTTCCTTGTTAATAGTAACAAAGATCTGTTGAATCGTTGAAAAGTATGGGTACCTACTCTATCCCTATTTTCGAGTTAACACGTGGAAAGCCTGTTTTTATTAAATACATTTGTTTAGGTATTTATTAGTAACAATATAAGTATTCACACGTTAACTTCAATACTCATTACTTTCTACTACTCACTCAAAGTACGAAGGGTTTACAAACTTTGCAAGAATTACCGCCATTCAAGTTCACAGTAGTCAATTGAAATTTTATCTGGGCGATATGATACGCTCGGTGTGTGTGTGTGTGTGTGTGTGCTAATGTGCGTGCTGACAATCGTATCATTGTTGATTCACCGGTGAATACAAAAGGAGCCACGAGGCCGCCGGTCGTTATCACGGAAGAGGACGTGTCGATTGCCCTGAAGAATTGTACGCCGATGTCTTTGCAAGGCATACAATTGTACAAAGGCCAGGGCCACGGTTGGTCTGATATCGGGGGCCTGGCGGAAGTGAAAAGGTCTCTTATAGAGATTCTACAGTGGCCGTTGAAGTATCCCGAGATATTTAAGAACGCGCCGATCAAGCTACAAAATGGCGTGCTGTTGTACGGGATGCCTGGAACCGGGAAAACGATGCTCGCCAAAGCGATCGCAAACGAATGCGGCGTGAATTTAATTAGCGTCAAGGTAGAACTACAAACATTCATTTTACACGTTATTTGTTTCACATCGTTAAACATTCAAATTGGATTGCGAAACTGTCACGTTTGTTCTCCATATATGTTTTATAAACGTTGCATATAAAACATTTGGTTTTAGGGTCCTGAATTGCTATCGAAGTATATCGGTGTGAGCGAGGAGTCTGTTAGGAACGTATTCGAAAGGTATATGTGGTTAATAATTAAATCTATATATAATTTATTAAAAACTATTGCGATCGAATACGTCTTTGTGATATTTACTAGGGCTCTCCGGGCGAAACCGTGCGTTCTATTTTTCGACGAGTTTGACAGTCTCGCTCCCAGGTGAGTCTATCATCAGAAGTTATTAATAACAATTTACATTCAACATTCTATATTTTTCTGTGATTAATTATAGACGAGGTCATGATAGTACCGGAGTAACAGACAGGGTGGTGAATCAATTGTTGACACAAATGGATGGGGTGGAGGACAGAGAGGGAGTAGCAGTGGTGGCGGCGTCTTCGAGGCCAGATTTGTTGGACCCAGCACTTTTGAGACCTGGACGTCTCGATAAATCTTTATACTGTCCTCTACCCGATCAGGTACACCTTTTTACAGAATCATGAAACGTTTGGTCTACAAAGATACATACGTAACGAGTATATCTGAATATTTAGCTTAAATTTTGGTGCGTTCTATTTCCCGGTAGATTTTAGTCTTGAATACATTTTTGTCCGGAGTAAAAAAATCAATTTGGTTGCTGTAATTGTTCGCTTGCGCACAGATTCTATTAATTGGGCCACTATTATTAAATTTGGATGTGTATGGTGAAGGCCTAAAAAGTGGGGGAGCTCTAATCGATCAGGCAGGAGTATTGAAGATTATTGGTGCCGTGATCTTTGCATTATTTGTTTATCCGTTAATAATTTTGTGTAGAAAACACAATGTATGATCACTGTTATTTTGTCATTCAATTTCTATAATTGCTGTAGGTGGACAGAGAAGCAATTTTAGTCGCGCTTTGCAAGACACAGAACATAAATACAGCGGAATTAGATTTAAAAGAAGTTTCGGCGATGACTTCCGGTTTCACTGGAGCTGATTTGAACGCGGTGGTCACGCAAGCCAGGTTATCAGCGTTCGAAGACGTGGTTGCTAATATTCCCGTAAGTAAATGCCTTCCTCAAGTGAGAATAACAATATTCCCTTCAATTCTGTATCCTTGCTACTAAATATACTGCTGATATGTAATTAGCAAATCGGTTTCCAATCGATTTCCATGTCGTCCGAGGGACTATAATTAAGCTTATATAGCTTAGTGTATATCACTACGGGTAAAAAGTTTAGACAAAACACCATGTATATTTTGTTATGTTTGGCGAGTCATTCAGGAGCATCTCGAATGTTCGATATTAACATAACAAACTATACATGGTGTTCCGTCTACATATCTTAAATTAAACTCTCAGAAAAGCCACCTGACCTATGCGATAACCTAAGTAAAATTCCATAAAAAAAAAACTGACTATCTAACGAAGAACCGTCGTCTCTCCAGTTCAACATTGCAACGGAAGCCACGCGATTCAGATACTCGTCTATCTGTAAATTCCGTGGTTGATCGAGATATTCTGGCCGGCGGAGTAACAAAAACGAATCCACCTAGCGAATACTCCTAGAAAACCTCCCCTGTTCCTAACGATCGTTTCGTTTTGTTGGGCCGCCCCTGTTGTATCTCTCTCTTCGTCTCACGGGCGCAATAATGAAAAGCATTTTAGCGCGACTCCAGCTGAGAATCATTTGTAGGGAGCTTCCGAAGTAAGATAGTGCGTAATGATGATAATATCGTTAGGTGTACACCACCCCTCCGTTCTATGTATATAGAGTGGCGTCGGGTGGCTAGGTAGGCGGGTAGGTGGCGCGATATAACTGAGGAAACGTAGACCAGGTTTATTAGCGCACGCTGCCGAGAGCACCAGCCATCCCCCTCACCCCCCCCCATCTCGCTACACTTCATCCTGGCCTACGCCTCGCTGAACGTCGAGGGGGTTATTATCTTATGCGTTATAATGATACACGGTTTAAGGCCTGCAGCGGTCCTGCAAAATCGAAAGGCTTGACTAGCCTCCCTCTGGCGTATCCCGGATTCCGGGGACGTGGAGCTACAGACTATCTTTCGGAAATTGACGGTTATTCCTTGTGTTTTAACCCTTTTAAGGGATATTCCTGTTCATTGATATTACGATACTTCTTGAATGTGATGAAAACGTGAAAAAATAATGTGAAATTGTAGACGTTTTGGAATTAATAGTATTGAGAGTTTAGGAAAGATACAGTAAATCACTGATGAGTATTCGGAAGTTCCTTGGCACTGAACTAATGGTCATACGCGGCTGAAACAAATATCATTGGCTTCGGAATTCCAAGTTTTATCGCTGTACTAAACCTTGTTATAAAGCTAGCGTTACACCTGGGAACCTCTCCTTGTCAGTACCGAGGAGCCTTCGAACATTCATTGAGGATTTACTGTGTATTTCTTCGTATTCAGTAGGTGTCGTAATATCTGTGAACGCGAGTCTATAATTTTTTTATCGACACATCTACCAAAGGAAATTAATTTTTAGATTTGTTGGGGGAATTAACTACTTGTCGGTTCTGCCACCAATAACGGATTGCTCTGTATATCATGTAAAATATCCTCGAATGCTTTGTAAGTGGTTAAGTTGAAAGAACTATCATGTACGTTTCCTAATTTTTATCTTGAAAATAAAAAAGGGTTCCGATAAGTTTATAACAAAGGAGCCTAGTTAAAATGTAAATCTTGATTAGAGGGGATGTTTTGGATAAAAAGAAATGTTATTAATCTAGATTTAGACGTTTTGTAATCGTCCTGACGCGTGTAACGACTGATAACACGGGTGTGTATGAGGGGTGTAAGCGAGGGGTTCAGGGACTATTAATTAACTTCCCACTGAGAAAACGAAGTTACGCCGGGCACTTACCTACCGGAAGAACACGAATATCCAAACTGTGCGTCTAATTAGCGAGCGAGTTTCCTGAGCGCGACGCATTCGGAGAGAAATGCGTCTCCGCACTGATAAGCGATAATACCTATAGGTCGACTTGCTCTGGGTGTTTATCGTTTAAAGCGACGATTATTAATGTTGTACATTCTATTTCTCAACAGGATGGAAAAATCGTAGCCGAAGACATCAAGGTGTCTCAAAAGCATCTCGTCGATTCCGTCAAGTCCACTCATCCTTCGTTGTCCAACGTTGAAAAAGAAAAATATAAGAGAATGTGAGTGTACTTCGAATAGACGATTAATTACATACTCCGAGACTTTTGCAATAATATTTTTATTCCCATTACAGTTACGCCAGATTCGCGAAACACGATAACTTCACGGAAGACATGCTGAGGAATCAGAAGGCTACCCTAGCATAAGATAGGAGTGTTATTGAAATTTCTACAGCGTATGGAAGATTTTAGTAAACTGCTAATGCTAAATAAGTGGTTAATTGAAATAAAAGTGCTAGGACAATATTTACTTACGTGTTCCAAATAATAAGAATCTAATCTCTAGCTACAAAACAGACACTTGATGATCGATTGTTGCAATGAAACCGACGATATCAATATTTACAAATCGTTCTTCAGAAAATTTTAACTATGTTACAACTTATCCCGTGTTACAACCTGCCCCGGTCTCCCCTATTATACGTCTATGGTCCAGGGACAGTCCGCTAATTTTTCAGGATCCAAGACCGCAGCCAAGAAAGAGGAACACCAGGCCCGGCTGTTATTCTAACTTTAATTTTATCACGTGTACATGTAGCTGCATATCCTGCAAGCGTCGTGGCCCTAGAGGAGGAAAGGGGAACGCCACTTTTCCTCGTTTAGCCGAGTATAAGCGTAATCCGGATGCCTGCGTCTCTCAAGAAACTCAACCATCCCCCAACGGGGTGGAACGACGTTCCGCGCCAGGCGAAGCTTAACAGGCACGGGCACACCGGCACGGAACTTTTCGTATTAATAATCGGTATAATAATTAGTATTTTCATGCGCGACTTAGCAGGAAGGACGCGATATTCGCGGGGTTGCGCGCGCGCGCACCAGCGAGCGCCCACCGCAACACCGGGGCGAGGAGCGGAGAACGAGGCTCTGAACTTCGGTGGATCTTGATTTTAAGTTCGGGGGCGAAGGAGGCGCATATTTCACCCCGCTAATGTCCCGCCAGATAAACTACAATATTAGCTGCCTTCGCCCGTGATTTAATTTAACTTTGCCCCGGCGCGACATCCGCCTCTAGCTTTCGGCTGCCACAACCCGGTTAAACCCCCCGTCGTACAACCACCCCCTCCCCCTTCCCCCGCCAACGATGTCGACATGTGTTTCTGGTTTATAGTTTTGAGGGTTGGATAAGTGGACTCTAAAGAAATTGCATCCTCGCCCGAGATTGCGAGACTCTGCTGCTGGCTTCTTTCTCTCACTTTAAATCATCTTCTTTCGCGGACAGTTCGAGGATTTGTGGACCCACCGCGTCATGTATTCTTGGCTGATTGTAATTAAGAGTTTTACCCGTGATTACTGGAGTTTCTTAACTCTCGTGGTAATTCGTCTTTGTATTTGTTATTATTACTATTTATTCGTTTAACCTTCCTGGAGTCTTGTGATTGTCTCTGCATAGTGACTTACAAACGAGAGTATGTCGCACTAATCGAGACATTACTGTAATTGATTTTGAAGTTACAAGAATTATTTAAAAAAGTATTTTCCCAACTTTCAGTCTTTCTTACTTTGTCTACCGACGAAACTAGAGACTCCGTGAATTTTCTTTGACTTAAGTGTTCCCTTGTGCACTTTAAATGGGTCTTGGTTGGCCTCTTCAGGAACGGTAGGAAAGGAAGAACACCGGTAAACGCGGGGAGAGGCAAACAAACTTGCACTCGCGATTATTCCCAGAAGAATTAGGATGGCATTCAGTTCCCGTGGAAATCATGGCGGCATTGTCGTGTATCCTTCGAACACGAAGACCGATGCGTCGTCGTCCCCCCACCCCCAAGTTCCTTTTCGAGAAAAGCGACGGAACGAGAACGAGGCGCCGTCTTTTACTGGGCGCAGTCAACTTCCCGAATGTCAAGGTAACGACATTAGCAGCACGAGAAACGGTAATCAGGAATAAAAATGCTACAACCGACGGCATTTACGCTAACTAATCTTCTTCAGGGAGGGCGAGGCGGTAACGGAGTTAGCAGCGGCCCCAGCTCACCCCCTCGGCCCCCGTTTCACCAGGGTTTTCCGTCGCCCGGCCAGCTTGTTAGCCGGATAATTGGCCATTTTTATGCTAAGCAGACCCGCGACCGTTACGGCGAGCTCGCGTTTTCGTTTTCTGTCATTCTTTCTGGCATGCTCTTGTGTCCAACGATTGATCGACCCACGAATCTTTTTATTTTGATCCAGAGGCGAATCAGCGCTAGATTAAGGGGAGTTTAAGGGTTGCCCCGTTCTGTACCTTTCATTTCGTTATAATTTAATGTTATTTAATTTTATTTAAATAAATTACAATTTTGTAAGATTCACGTACTTTGTTGTACTGTGTTACGAAAAATATAAGTATTTCTGTAATTCAGACCTTTATTCCATTTCGTGTCACCTATATTTGGGTGACGTGGTAGTTAAGTGTTAAACGATAAAACACCTAATCGTGTCAACTTTTGATCCAGACAACAATTCAATGTGTTGCTTTGAGAGGATGCATAATACATTGATATAGTTTTTATTGTTTCCACAAAATTGTGGCGATCATATCATTCGGAGAAAATCTATTCAAATTTTGCACGGACCCAATAGATTTTTGTTATATTTTCAGTTTGTAACATACAGTACTGCCCAAAAGTTTGGGATCAAATGCTATTTGTAATGAAAATAAACGCATGTTTGGAGATTTTAAGAATAAAGATGATTGTATACAGAATTTTCATCGAGGGTGCAGAATTTTTGAAAATGGTAAAAGTTGAGGTAGCGATTTTAATATTGTTGACGTTACTGTAAACGTTAATGTAACTTAATAGTTTATTAAATATGTATGTAATCATCTTAATGGTCCCATTAACCCCTTCCGTTGACTCTTATCTATACGTATTTGAATTGTCGCACCCTTTCTCTATTTTCTCCGTTTCCTTTCTCTCTATTCCGCGGTCCCGAAAAGATAAGGCGGTAACGGTGGTCGGTGCCACGGTAAGGCGATTACCGAATCGCGAGGACGCATTTCCGTGGTCAGAGTATAAGGCCACCATTGTGGTGGAAGCCACAGAGAAGAAAAGGATCTGACCTTTCCAGTCCGAAAAATGTTCCATTTATTCTTATTCAACAAACTGAAATCAAACATGAAAAGCCACTTCGTGAGATCAATTCTGTTATAATTAAGTGTCAGACCGTGCATAGTAAACAATTCTAATATATTTCTTTAATTAAAAAATGTCCCAATTATTCTCACACAACGAAGTGAAATCACACATGAGAAAACACTTCGTGAATCAACCCTAATACTAATTTAATATCAAATCGTGTACAATCAATGTTGCTTCCAGATATTAATATTCTATAAAGTATACTGAACCTAAATAATATTGTCGTTTTCCTACGAAAATATTCGTTACGTAGAATCCGATTAATTTTCCCGTTTCGATCCGCAAGCGTTATCATTTCTCCTCTTTTTCGTGACGGTCGAAATTAATGAGATCCAACGGTAAAATTCAAAATGGCCGCCGCAAGTCGACGAGTAAACACGCGATGAAACACATCCATGGTCCACGACGCGAAACAATTTCGCGACGGTGTGACGGCGGCTGCAATTTGATCGTGGAATTACGGGGGGTCACAAAAATACAGGATGGAAATGCAGAACAAGGAGGCAAAATCCATCTAGTGATTTCACAGGCAATTATGCCGTGGGTGCGCGTTGGCCGGGTTACTCTTATTTAACGCCAATGTGCGCCGAGATCACGCCTCAACGCCCTTGCACCGCGATCCCATTTGCGCGAAATTGTCAATGATAGAATGGCAGATTGAAAACTCGACATTCAAGCGCTATCCCTTCCATTCTGCTTTTACCTTTTTCTACCATCCGCCCCCAACCCTCTCGACGACGTCCTCCTTCATCGTCGACGTCACGATTCTTTCGTCAACCGTTCAAATTATGTTACGGGCGAGGGTAAGATTGCTTCAAATGAATTCGTTGTAAACTTCGAACAATTAACACTTTTGCAGTCGATAATTTTTGGATCTTAAGCCTTTTGTTGTTTATGTCGAATATACTCATCGTGAAAAGATAGCATTTTTTTGTTTAAGTATATTCGTCATAGCTTAAAAATAATTAAGCACACAAGTGCACATATTCTAAATGACATAAAATGTTTAAGGGATTACAAATGGAAGCTGTATTTCATAAATTAAATTGAAAATTTTGTTTGAATCGTTGAATTAAAAGTTTGTTCCATAAAAATTTCGGTAAGTACGATAAGATTAGAATCACAAAAAAATGTACCACTTCACGAGGAGAAAGTTTAAAGTTTCATCCCTTTTTAATGCAAGACTTCTAAGTAGTGTCTTGAGTAAGTATTCAAATAAGCAATCTACCATACATTATCGAATTTAGTAATTATGTTTCCAGGAAATTACAAGCTTATGCTGTTCTAATGTTAAAAAGGAAAAAATGTGGAGATGTTTTTAAATTAAACTGCATTACCAGCATATTTAATCAAAATGGTAATAGGTAAGTTATTAATACACTTTATAGGTGTTATGATACTTCTCCTTACCTTGAGCAAAGGTTCACTCTTTTCTATTTTGCATTCCATTTTGCGAACATTCAATTAATAATCGTGATTTTTTCTTGCTTTATGGCCCTTACTGTGAAAGAAATAAGTTCCTCTAAAAAATGTATTAGATTCTTCAGTAAAGTGAATTTGATTTTGATGGGCAAATACTTTTGAACGGTATCGTATATTAAATAATGATATCTGTATAAAACATATTATCGAAATGTTGCTACAAGGATCGATCGTCTCGACATTCAAACATAGATAACAAAATCGTACGATCTAAAATCGTGCTTGGAGAACAAACGTTCTCCGCAAACACGGGGGATTCCGTCGACGATGTGGGGGCGAGTGTCGATGTTACCCGCGAGTTTCTCTAATAAATTGCACTCGAAATAGTCGATCTCTCGGGAGTGTCAGCGATACCTCTCGCTTCGGTTGAATCGAATGAAAAGAAAGCATCAATAACTCGATTATCAGAGACCCAGATAAATAGACGGGCGGCCAACGCGATTCGACCGGGAATGAGTGCCCGCCACTCGACCACATCGAACGCAGGGAAGTTGCTTTACAGAAGTATCTCTGGGCTGTTGTTCCTACTGTTGCGATCGTACGGTCGCATTCTAACAGCGGGAACCC